GAGAGAGATGATTCAAACTAGTAAAATTAGAGGTGAGAAGGGGGAACATTAGAACAGATAACAAGGAAATCCAGAGAACCATAACGGCATACTTCAAAAGTCTATACTCCACTAAACTGGAAAATCTAAAGTAAACGAATGAATTTCCTGATACATACCCCTTACCAAAGTTAAATCAAGACCAGATAAGCAATTTAAACAGACCCACAATCCCTAATGAAACAGAAGCAGTACTTAAAAATCTCCAAGCCAAAAGAAGAGGAATGCTGCTGCTGATAATAATAATAATAATAATAATAATAATAATAATAATAATAATTAAAACCCATGGCCAGATGGCTTTAGCACAGAATTCTTCTACTTTAAAAAAAAGACAGATTAATGCCAATAGTCCTCAAATTATTCCACAAACTAGAAACTGGAAGAGCATTTCCTAATTATTTTTTAATAAAGACACTATTACCCTGATATTAAAACCACACAAAAGTCCACCAAAAATTATAAATCAATATCCCTTATATAACATAAATGAAAATTCTCAATAAAATACTAGAAAACTAAATTCAAGACCATGTCTGTGGTGGTTTGAAAGAAACTGGCCCCCAAAGGAGGTGGCACTATTAGAGAAACTGGCCTTATTGGAGTAGGTGTGGCCTTGTTGGAGGAAGTGTGTCACTGTGGGGGTGGGCTGTGAGATCTCCTTTACTCAAGCTACAGTCAGTGTGGAACACAGTTTACTTCCTGTTGCCTAGAGATCAATATGAGGAACACTCAGCTCCTGCTCCACCACTATGTCTGCCTGCATGCTACCATGTTTCCCACCATGTTCATAATGGACTAAATCTCTGAAACTGTAAGCTAGCCCCAATTAAATGTTTTCCTTTATAAGAGTTGCTGTGGTCATGGTGTCTCTTCACAGCAATAGAAACCCTAAGATAACATCAAAAATATTATTCACTCTGATCAGGTTGGCTTCATCCCAGAGAGGCATGGATGATTCAACATACACAAATTAATCAATGTAATCTGCCACATAAACAGACTGAAAGGCAAAACCCATATGACCACCTCATTAGATTCAGAAATGGCCTTTGACAAAATCCAACATCCTTTCATGATAAAAGTTGTGGAGAGATTAGGGATATAAGGGACATACTTCAAATGAATGAAGGTGATTTACTGCAAGCCCACAGTCAACATCAACCTAAATGAAAGAAACTCAAAGCAATTCAACAAAATCAGGAACAAGAAAGAATGTCCACTCTTCCCATGCCTATTCAATATAGTACTTGGAAGTCTTAGCTAGAGGAAGAAGACAACAGAAGGACATGAAAGGAATATAGATAGAAAAAGAAGAACTCAAGTTATCTTCATTGGTAGATTTTCTGGATAGTTTTATGTCAACTTGACACAAGTCATAGTCATCTGAGAGGAAGGAACCATAATTGAGAAAATGTCTCCATAAGATCAGGCCATAGGCAAGCCTGTAGAAAATTTTCTTAATTAGTAAGTGATGTGGGAGGGTTTAACTCATTGTGGGTGGTACCACACCTGGGCTGGTGGTCCTGGGTTCTATAAGAAAGCAGGCTGAGCAAGCCATGAGGATCAAGCCAATAAACAGAATCCCTCCATTGCCTCTGCATCAGCTTCTGCCTCCAGGATCCTGCCCTGTTTGAGTTCCTGTCCTGACTTCCTCCAATGATGAAGAGTGATGTAGAAGTGTAGGCCAAATAAACCCTTCCTTCCCCAACTTCCTTCATGGTCATGGTGTTTCATCACTGCAGCAATAGAAACCCTAAGATAGACTACCATGTGGAAGTGTAAACCAAATAAACCTTTTCCTCTCGAATTGCTTTGGTCATGGTATTTATCACAACAGTAGGGAACTGGTACCATGTTAGTGGGGTACTTCTGTGATAGACCTCACTGTGTGGTTTGGGGGGGATTGTGGAAGGACTTTGGAACTTTGATCGAGAAAAGCTATTGAGTGTTCAAAGCTTGATGAGCTGTTCTGTGGGAGCTTGGAAAAAAGGAGTGTTGAGAGAAATGTCGATGATTGAAGTTTAACTTGTGAAGTTCCAGAGGGAAATTTCAGAATTACTTATCCACTCTGGGGGCCATTGCGTATTTGCTATTTTTAATCAAGATTTTGTGGTTTGGGTCAGGGGCTGAAGATTAACAAGAGGCCTGCACCGTTGGAGTGAAACCTTGGCTTTGCCGGGACAATTGATGGTGGTTAGCTGGAGCAGAGAAATTAGTGGTGATTGAGACCAACGTCATTGAAAGAATGGGTTGAAGAGAGGAAAGGGAAGAGAGGAATGATATATTATAGTCTCTAAAAATTAAAAAATAAATACATCTGAAAATCGATTTGTAAAAGAAAGAAACCAGAGCTCCCTTCTGGCCCTCCTGGTCTCCAGCCAGAACACTTTGAAAACAGTTGCTCTCAAGTCCTCCTCGCCTGCAGCTGCCTGGCCATTTCCATCTCCTGGTCTCATCATCACAATAGTCCTGAACCTGAGCAGAGGAGTTTCAGGCACACTGCTTGCATGGCTTGATGGTGTGTGCAGTGCTACATGGATGTGCAAGGCTATGCTGTCAGAAACACCTTGGGTCCGTTATGCATTTGATCTTGAACTTCTTTTTGTTGTTGTTGTGTGCTCAGAAACCTTGTAGTGCTGCAAGTTTCTTCATGACTCCTGAATTCAATGACCTGACCTAAAAATGGGGATAAACCCCCGAGTCTTATATATGCTGGGCAAATATTGTCGCATTGAGTGCCCCCACGCTCCCCCCCACCCTGGTTTGAGACTATTGAGCGATGCCATGTTGTGCTTAAATTGCAAGCCAAGTCAGAGCGGAGCCATTTTTAGTTTTCTTTGAATTTCCTTGTGTATTTTCTGTGACAGCTGCTGCCAGAGTTAAGGAAATCTACTGTTAGCATGTTTTGTGACCGAACTTTAGGACAACATCCTCGATTTAATGACAGAGCCTACTCGCGCACATGGAGAAAATCGATCACAAACAGTGCCTCCCTGTGGCGGGTCCTAGCTTGGCAGCAAATAGAAGGAGGCAGTGTGGCTATTATTTAAAAACAACAAACAAACAAAACAAAACAAAACAAAAACAAAAAACAAAAAAACATTTTGGGGAACCTTGTCTTCCATTTGGAAATTGGGAAGAGAGGGGCTATTGAGTTGAGTAGCCTTTCTGGAGATTGTCTGACTGAAGAAGATTACTGCTTAGTTCTGACCTCATGGACTTGAAGAAATAGGAGGCTACTTTGCTGTTCAGTGTGGGTAGGAATTAATTTGCACAAAATTTATACATAGTGTTACAAATCAGTTAATTTTATCTACGAGAGATACACTTGAGAAGAGGCTGCCACACGTTCCCTTTAGATTGCTTTGTAGGATAGTAAACAGTCTGGCATTCATCAGTAAAGCTGTTTCAGCGTCTTTAGCTGTGTTTACGTGTATATATGTTTTTGAAGTTTCCCCTCTTGTGACCTCCCCCTCAACAAAATAAAAAAAAAAATGAACAAGTCCAGTTTGCGTTATCTATATACTCACTGGAGTGTGGTCAAAGTTTCAATGTCCTGCCCCTTAAATAGAACCGGGTCCTTCCCCTCCCACATTCCCTGCCAGAAGCCATCAAACGCAGAGAGCCACACTTCAGCAGCCTTATTACACGTTTTAAGAGTTTTCTTAAATGACTTCCTGTTTAGGCTCCCACCTTTTTGTGTGTGTGGGGGGGGTTGTCACAGAAGACTTCCATGTCCCTTTTTCTCGGCTGTGCATCTCAGTCATCGATATCACAGCAAAAGTAGCTTCCTTGCTCTTTACAATCAGTGGGAGCACGAATCACGGGCTTCCACACGGTTTCTGGCAGCAGCACAGACCACAGACATGGCCCTCGGTGGCAGTACGGGTCCAGACATCACCAAGGATTCAGGTGGCAGGGCAGGCCACCCAGATCAGTATGGCCCCTTGGCGATATTAACATGATTTCAGGTTACAGCACAGACCACACATGTCCCCATGAGCCCCAGACATCAACATGCACCCAAACGGGCCACAGACATCAACATGCACCCATGGTATCAGAACCACAGACCCACTTATGGTCCTCAGCAGCGGCACTGATCACAGGCCTCCACGTGACTTCAGGTGGCTACACAGGACACTCACATCAGGATGGCCTCCCAAGGCTGCAAAAATCCGAGGACACCAGTCAGTGGCACAGACCATGTTCATCCACTTTGGATCTCAGGCTTCATCACAGCCGGAACAGCAGTATGGACCACAGACATTAACGTATCCTCAGTGGCACCGAGGACCATAGTGGTCCCTTGAGGAGGTCCAATCCAGAAAGTGAACTGTTCCTCATCTTGGGGCCTCGATCATTGCCCAGAGCCGGGCAGTGTGTCTGGGGGGTCAGGCCTGGTCTGCATCTGCATGAGCTCCAGGCTGCTGCACACCACCCCGTGTATCAAAGGGCAACAACGCGTTCCACCGTCGACCTCAGCCCTCTCCCACACCCATCACTGCCTTGTCTCCAGTTCTGCCTCTTTCCACGGTGCATGCACCGCTCCCCTCTTCCATCTTTCCCTCTCTCCGTCACTCATTCATTGATTTGTAGTGGCCCATGCCATCTGCCCTGTGCAAGGTGGGGTGGGTGCCTTTAAGCAGAGTCTAATTAATGAATGAGGTGAATAAAATCTTTCACCTGTGTTCATTTTAGATTCGCATGAAAATAAAGATTACATACTGTTTTCACTTTTACAATATTGCAATTTAGGGCTAGAGAGACTAGCTGCTCTCCCAGAGCACCTGGGTTCGATCACCAGTACTCATTCGACTGCTCACAATCGTCTGTAACTCTAGTCCAAAGGGATCTGATGCTTTTTTCTGGCCTCTGAGGGCGATAGATGGGAACATGGTGCATAGACATGCATGCAGGTAAAACCTCATACACATTAAAAAATTGTAGTTCAATAATACAATGTTTGATACTTTTATTTTCATATTTAAATTCTTTTCATTTCAAAAGCAAGTCAGATAGGCTATCAAATGTTTAAGTTTAAATTAGACAAAAATGAGTGGCATGGCCTGGGATAGAAACAGCTTTTGTGTGCAATTTTGAAATGTGTAGCATGTAAAATCTTCTAAGGTGAGAAAATCTCCATCACAGTGTGTTAACTTTGCTTCTGTGAGACTGGACTTCCTAAGTCACCCAGTCTGCCTTTGAACTCCTTCCTCATCTTCTTGAGGGCTGAAATTACAGGTGTTCCCCACCATGCCAAGTCCTGATTAAGGTTTTCGAGATGGTGAGATTCCGCAGTAAAGAAATGACAGACCCGAGAGCAATGATCATCTATGTCTTTCTGGGCGAGTCTCCTGGCAGGCCTTGGGCATCAGCTGCTTCTCTGCTCTGGGGAGAAAGAAGGCTTTCTTTACATCACAGTGACCCCAGTGACCTGTCTGTCAATCAGAAAGGATGTTAATGTGCCACAGCCTGAACACAATAAAATTCTCTTCTTAGTGCTTGAAATCCCTCTACTGTAGCTTTCTTTCTTAGCTCGAACGAAAGTCATTTGACAGCTTTTACAATACAGTTATTTCCTTAGGAGCCATTTAGCTAGTGGATTTACAAAAGAAACGAGGATATTGCCATCTAGTGGTTTAAGTGAAGAAATTCCGTTAATTTTTATTTCACCCACAAATTTGGTTTATTTTCCTCAATGTGGACTTGAATATGAAAGCATATGTTTGTAGAAGCAAGTATCAATACAGCTCTTAAATCAGTACTTCAGACACGACCACCATTCATTTCATTTCCAGGCCTTACTCCCTATTAAATTCAGTAGGATATGATTCAGAACACACAAAGTCTTCACATTTGAAAATACTAACAAAATATAATGTTTAACTGAAGAAATTCTAAGATGGAAATTAAACAAAAAATAAATTGGTCAAATGAATAGTTACAGAATTTTAAAACATTACATAAAAATATATGATATACAAACAATTATATATGTATTAATATTTCCTGAAATTCCACAGTTAAGGTACTTTGATTTTTATTAAATACCTTCCTTAGGGCTGGCAATATGGCTCGGGTAGTAAGGGCACTTTGCTGCAAAACTTGATGACCTGAGTTCAATCCCCAGGACCTACATAATAGTAGGAAATTATAGATCCCCACATCTTGTCCTCCATGTAAGTGCCATGGCATGAATGTATGCATGTACGTATGCACTCATATACACAGAGATACACAAACATTTTTAAAATTCTTCATTGCAACAAGAGTGAATATAAAGCCGGACGGTGGTGGTACACACCTTTAATCCCAGCACTCGAGAGGCAGCCTGTTTTACAGAGTGAGATCCAGGACAGGCTCCAAAGCTACACAGAGAAACCCTGTCTCAAAAAAAAAAACAAAAAAAAAAAGAGTGAATATAAAATAATATTCCATTGAATATTATATTATTATTGAATTGTATTATAAAATACTTCTGAGGTACTCTGTAACTAAGAAGCTTGACATGTAAGCCTTAAAAAATAATGCATATAGCTGGGCAGTGGTGGCGCACGACTTTAATCCCAGTACTTGAGAGGCAGAGGCAGGTGGACCTCAGTGAGTTCCAGGACAGCCAGGACTGTTACACAGAGAAACCCTGTCTTGAAAAAACAAACTATATATATATATATATTTCCATAAAATACTAATATGTAAGTCCAGCTAAATCACTGATAATATTATTTACTTTCTTATGGATATAAGCATTTTCCCTCTATTAAAGAGAATCATTGTATAGATCTAGTTCATTTCTAATGGAGAGTGGAGATAAGGACAAAATTTCCTACAGATGGAGTCACAGAGACATAATACATGAAGGAGATGTTTTCAGACTCCCCTTGAAAGCCAAAAATTATCTTTAACTCAGTAGAAGATCTTTCCCCCACTTTGTGAGCATTTTGACTTCACTTTTCTTTCTCTTTTTAAAAGAAGTTTGAAGATTTATTTTATGTGTATAACTGTTTTGCATGCATGTATTATGTGCAACATGTGTATGTCTGTGCCTGAGAAGGTCAGAAGAGTATAGGCAGAGTTTTCCTGTCCAGCAGCCACTCTCAAATAAACACACTGAATCTTATATTAATTACAAATGCTGGCCAATAGCTCAGGCTTATTACTAACTAGCTCTTACATTTTAAGTTAACCCATATTCCTTATTTACACTCTACCAAATTGTGGCACCTTTATTAGCATGGCACGTTCGTCTCCTGCTCCCTCTGCATTTGGCTGGCAACTCTTTCCACTCCACCCTTCCTCATCCCATCATTCTCAGTTTGACTTTCTTGCCTAACTTTATCCTGTTCAGCTATTGGCCAGTCAGCTTGTTTATTGAACCAATCATAGTGACATATATTCACACAGTGTACAGAAGGATCATTCCACAGCATTTCCGCCTTTTTGCCTAATTAAAAAGGAAAGTTTTCACTTTAACATAGTAAAATTATGTACAACAAAACATATCAAGTAAGTTATCAAGTAAGAATTACAGTTAAAATATCCAGTCTATTTGTATTTGGCAAAATTAGAGAGAATACTCTATTATTTATCTTATCTTGGTGAGTCTAAAGTTTTATACCTAATTTGCTTTCTATCATAACTAAAGAAAACTATATGTTTAACTATTTCATCTTTAACTCTATCAAAGACCCCAGAAGGATGAAATGTTACCTAAGAATAGGAATATCAGGTTGCCTACACTCACCCAAAGTTTTTCTGTGACATTGGGGCATCCAGCTCTGACCTACAGGCCTAGTATATCTGACAGACTTTCCTGTGAAACAGGGAATTCTGAAGGATTGTCCTACCTTGTCTTGGCAAAGTTTGGCAGTTGCCTTTCTTGTGTCCTGCTGGTCCAGTTTGGACAGTAACTGTCAACAATGGAGACAAGGGCAGTTTTTCTTCCCCCAAATGGCTAGCTTTTGCCATAAAGAAAACAAACAGCATATGGAGTTTCTTTGATACCCGTCATCTTCTCTGAAGTAGATTGGTGCTGCCAGGAGCAGACGTGTCTCACTGTCATGAAAAGCCTTTTAATATTAAACATATTAAATACCATATTCTGTAGGTTTTTGATGTGTTTGAAGACCATCTATCTAAGTATATTATTGAGAACTGCTGGTAGCAAAAGGCCATGGGAGTATACAGCAGGTGACAACTAGTGTTCAGAAGGTCAACCTATCAGAACCAAGGGTTCTAGTGGAGGAAACTATCATGCTCTTATAGGATATCTGTGTATGACCTTGAAAACATATCTAACATAACTGTAAGTTTGACTATGACAGATGGCTATTAATCTGTACTTCTTAATTGTATATTATATTTTAAAATGAGCTGCATAAACACAATACCTTAAACAAGAGTGGAAATATACATACAGAATAACAAAATTAACTTTAAATTTGTATCAATAAACCAAAATACATACCCATGTAAAATATTTAAGATTAATAGTTGTTTTTTGGATTAAAGTAGATTCAATAATGTACCCTTTTATCCTATCATTTCTATATCCCCCTTTTCTTTTTAGGATGAGATCCCTGAATCTAACCTCCTTTGTTCAGCTTTTTTCCTGATCATTACCAATAACAACTTGCAACCAACCTCGCTTAAATGATAATAAATATCCATAACCCATTTTTTGGGAATGTGTGTGTAGTTCTCTAGACTGCTTCCTATTGAAGTAGTCCCCATGGTAATCTTTGGGGGACCCTAAGAAAATTTAAGATTATGGTCAAGTACTGACTGCAGTATTCTGTGAGGCTGGATCATCTCAGCAAGCAGCCTTGAAGCTGTTCTGAATGCAGAATTCCGAGGAGACTGTAACAGAGAGGGACCTTGAGATGTTGGATCACCAGGGCCATCCATTTTCAGTGGTGTTTGGTGTAGCTGGAGAGTTTTTTCTCCAGGTCCCGCCAAGCCCCGGCAGTCTGACAGCCCACTTATAAAATAAACACACAGACGCTTATATTATTTAAACTGTTTGACTTAATGGCTCAGGCTTTTTGTTAACTGTTTTTATATCTTAAATTAACCCATTTTTATTAATCTATACTTTGCCATGTGGCTCGTGGCTTATCGGTACCTTACATCTTTCTTGTGGTGGCGGCTGGCAGTGTCTCTGCCTCAGCCTTCCACTTCCCCAATTTCTTCTCCTCCTTGTCCCACCTATACTTCCTGCCTGGCTACTGGCCAATCAGTGTTTTATTTATTAACCAATCAGAGCAACACACTTGACATACAGACCATCCCACAGCACTCCCCCTTTTCTTTTTTTTTTCAAAAAGGAAGGTTTTAACTTTCACATAGTAAAATTATAGATAACAAAACGATTATCAAGCAAGAATTACAGTTATAATATCTAATCTATTTATAATAACTAGTCTATTTGTATTTGGCAAAATTAAAGAAGATATCCTATCTTATATTTGTGAGTCTAAGGTTTTATATCTAACTTATCTTTTATCATAACAGAGGAAATTATAATTCTAGTCTTCAACTACATCAAAGATCTCAGAAGGATATAATACTACCTGAGAAATGGGAGAAGGATGCAAACAACTTTTGGGAGTCTTGCAGGGTAGACAGAGACAGCTGGCAGCCTGGACAGTCATCCAAAGTTCTTCCTTCATCAAATCTTATTTTCTTTAACCCAGAATGAATCCACAGCTTCTCATTTCCCGTGGAAATAAAAGCATAACTTCTCCCCCAAAGCAATACACCTTTTGACTTAAATTTTGAAGTCGAGATATTTTTAAAATATATATTGGTCGGTTTAATCTAACAGTTGTCATAATCCCATGTGTGTTAGCAGCTGCTGTTCCTTCCCCAGCAATCAGAAAATCTAAAGACAACACAATAACATACAGTACCCAGACTCTCTGTGTACTTTCCATCTTTTTCATGGCTTATTATATTTTTTATTACTCTATTTCTTTTTTAAGGACTTTATTTTAAAACTATATTTTTAAATCTAAGATTGTATATACTCTTTCTTTTCTCTCTCCCAAGCCGATGCACATTTTCTAACACACTGTGGTCTGTTTAGAGGCTCTTTTTGTCTCAATCTGTCCTTACTGTGCATCTGTAACCACTTCTGTCTGCATGAGCAAAACCTAAACCCACAATGAGGCCTCGTTCATGGTACGCTGGTGAGCTTGCTCTGGCGGCAGCTCAAACCCACAGGCAGGGTCTGGGAGATGTTTTCTCTGCACTGTGGCTGGCATGAGAGTCTGTGGGAACCTTCCATGAAGTGTGCTGGAGGTTCAAGCCCTCAGGCAGCAGCCAGGAGACTAGGAAGCTGCTCGTGGTTCTGTTTTAGAACCTTTTAAAAAACTTTCTTAGGTTTTATGTGGAAATTCTTGCCAAACGTTTGGGTGCCATTTGTAGGTAGAATTTCCTGTCCTGTAGCCACTTTCAAGTAAACACACTGAGGCTTATATTAATTACGAATGCTTGGCCAATGGCTCAGGCTTATATTTTAAGTTAACTCATATTCCTTATCTACGCTCTGCCACATGGTGGTACCTTTATTAACATGGCACTTTCATCTCCTGCTCCCTGTGTGTCTGGCTGGCAACTCTTCTGAGTCTGCCCTTCCTCCTCCCATCATTCTCAGTTTGACTTTCCTGCCTAACTTTATCCTGTTCAGCTATTGGACAGTCAGCTTGTTTATTAAACCCGTCATATATTTACACAATGTACAGCATGATTATTCCACAGCAGAAGAGGGCATCTGATTCCCTGGAAGTGAAGTTATAGGTGGTTGTGAGTCACCATGTGGGCATCGGAAATTGAACCAGGGTCCTCTGCAAGAGTAACAAGTGCTCTAAACCTCTGAGCATCTCTCCAGACCCTTAGCTCTACTTTCCAAGCAAGTTTTAGGGTTTGGGAAGCATACTAGCTTACCTAGGATTAGTCAGGATAGAGCTTCTTTCTCAGCCATCGTCAGTCAGTCACAGAGTATTACCATGTTCATAGAGTACGGCCATAGTCATAGAGTACTGCTGCAGTCATAGAGTACTGCTGTAGTCATAGAGTACTGTCATAGTCATAGAGTACTACTATAGTCACAGAGTATTACCATGTTCACAGAGTACAGCCATAGTCATAGAGTACTGCCATAGTCATAGAGTACTGCTGTAGTCATAGAGTACTGTCACAGTCATAGAGTACTGCTGTAGTCATAGAGTACTGCTGTAGTCATAGAGTACTGTCACAGTCATAGAGTACTGCTATAGTCATAGAGTACTTCCACAGTCATAGAGTACTGCTGTAGTCATAGAGTACTTCCACAGTCATAGAGCACTGCTGTAGTCATAGAGTATTGTCACAGTCATAGAGTACTGCCATAGTCATAGAGTACTTCCACAGTCATAGAGTACTGCTGTAGTCATAGAGTACTGCTGTAGTCATAGAGTACTGTCACAGTCATAGAGTACTGCTATAGTCATAGAGTACTGCTGTAGTCATAGAGTACTACCATAGTCATAGAATACTGCTGTAGTCATAGAGTACTGCTATAATCATAGAGTACTACCATAGTCATAGAGTACTGTCACAGTCATAGAGTACTGCTGTAGTCATAGAGTACTGTCACAGTCATAGAGTACTGCTGTAGTCATAGAGTATTGTCACAGTCATAGAGTACTGACATAGTCATAGAATACTGCCATAGTCATAGAGTACTGTCACAGTCATAGAGTACTGCTGTAGTCATAGAGTACTGTCACAGTCATAGAGTACTGCTATAATCATAGAGTACTACCATAGTCATAGAGTACTGTCACAGTCATAGAGTACTGACATAGTCATAGAATACTGCCATAGTCATAGAGTACTGTCACAGTCATAGAGTACTGCTGTAGTCATAGAGTACTGTCACAGTCATAGAGTACTGCTGTAGTCATAGAGTATGGTCATAGTCATAGAGTACTGTCATAGTCATAGAGTACTGTCACAGTCATAGAGTACTGTCATAGTCATAGAGTACTGTCACAGTCATAGAGTACTGCTGTAGTCATAGAGTACTGCTGTAGTCATAGAGTACTGTCACAGTCATAGAGTACTGCTGTAGTCATAGAGTACTGTCACAGTCATAGAGTACTGCTGTAGTCATAGAGTACTGTCACAGTCATAGAGTACTGTCACAGTCATAGAGTACTGTCACAGTCATAGAGTACTGTAGTCATAGAGTACTGCCACAGTCATAGAGTACTGCCACAGTCATAGAGTACTGCTGTAGTCATAGAGTATTGTCACAATCATAGAGTACTGTAGTCATAGAGTACTGCCATAGTACCACTTCAGCCTGGGATGGACACATTCTAGTTTTTTAATGACAGTTTCTAGGACAGGCTTGAGAGTCTAGAGTAGATAAAGAACTGAACAGAGTAAGAGAGCTCAGTTTATGGACCCTGCACAAAACAGCTGTACCTTCTGTTCTGAAGACAGTTCTGGGGCAGAGGCCCTGACACTCCTGGGTAGCTTCCATGGACTAGAAAGATATGTTCTAGTCTTCATCCTGTAGGCCTCTCAGTTGTCCTCGCAGATTCTGCTAAGATTGTTGCAGAAGATAAGAATGGGCGTCACATGGGCACACATGCCCTGTAGTGGCTGACAGCACATGTATGCAATCTACTTTCCTATCAACGTAGTAGTAGTAGCAATAGTAGCAGTACTACTAGTAGTAGAAGACTAGGAGGAGGAGGAGAAAGAGGAGGAGGAAGAAGATTAGACAACAGATTTTATTTACATGTACTACATTACTAGAAAGTTGATAAACTAAAATATGAAAGCACTGCTAAACCTTAAGAATTGTTTGTGAAGTGTCCTGATAACTTCTTCAAACAGGTCACTTTCCTGTCAAGTAGAAATGCACATAAGGGGTGGCATCCATTTGGAGAATGCCTTTCTCCAGGTTGTTTGTATGCTATGTAGATATTTTCGTTATGAATTTTTTTCTTGAAGATCTTATTTTAAATACTAAACTTTAGTCTGGGGATGAGGCTCAGTGGAGAACACTGGCATCACTGTACAAGGTGTCCAGTTCAGCCCACAGTGCCATGAAAATAAAGAAGCAAAACAAAAGCACCTCCCACCTTTGACCTTCCTCAAACAATGAGGATTAGCACTCTGCCTCTTTGTTTGTGAAAAGCTCTCCCTGGCCATTCTAACATCTGATTTTGAGAAGCAATCTTCCAGGCTACAAATAATAAGACTAAAGACCTTTTTGGAAGAGGTTTTAGGGCAACCCAGGGTGAAAAAATAGAACAACTGGTCCAATTTAATGGCCACTTAGGTACAGAACTTGCAGATCACCAACAAGATTCAACACTTACAATCCCATCTGTATGGGAAATGAATTTTTAATGTGTTTTATTGCTACAGGTGGCAACTTGGTAAAAAGCACTGTGTAATAGCGGAAATATTCTAAACACAGTTTTTATTACCTAAAACATTACCCATAGAGCACCAAGTGCATGGTAGGATTGATGACAGGCACCAGAATTCCAAAAAAAGGTTTCTCTGCTATAGGAAACATGTTGCATAACCAAATGACTGTTAGAGGTCAGCATAGCTACAAACCCTCTGTGAACATCAATGTTCTTGAGAAGTTCACAGAAGGTTTGTAGCTAAAAATGTTCGATCCGCGGGCCTCCGTGCACTCTTCTGGCCATTCATATGCCTACTCTGTGAGTCTTGGGATCCTGAATTCCGTGTCCAGTCAGACCAGAAGGAGGCTGAGCTGCTAGGATGAAGCTCGTGAGATTTTTGATGAAATTGAGTCATGAAACTGTAACCACTGAATTGAAGAATGGAACACAAGTCCATGGAACAATCACAGGTGTAGATGTCAGCATGAATACACATCTTAAAGCTGTGAAAATGACCCTGAAGAACAGAGAACCTGTACAGTTGGAAACCTTGAGCATTCAAGGAAATAACATTTGGTACTTTATTCTACCAGACAGCTTACCTCTGGACACATTACTTGTGGATGTGGAACCTAAGGTGAAGTCTAAGACAAGGGAAGCTGTTGCAAGAAGAGGTCGAGGCCGAGGTTGAGGAAGAGGACGTGGTCGCGGCAGAGGAAGAGGGGTTCCTAGGCGATAATGTCTTTCGAGATTACTGTTTCAAAGTGATAAGGAATTGGGGGATAGTTTTTGTACAGGTTTTGTTTGTTTGTCAATTTTTAATAAACATTAAGTGTGGGGAAAAAAGAATGCAAATGTTCAACTTCTAATTAAAAAGAATAATGATGTAATTAGCAAGACACTATAAATGCATATTTATATTGCAAGTGGTAAGGTTTATGTTGCTGCTGCTGTTGTTTTGAGACAGCATCTTACTATGTAGCCCAGGCTGGCCTAGAACTCGCAGTGATTTCTGCTTCCAAGTGCTGTCATTACAGACATGTGCCACCATGCTTGATGTAAGTGGTAAATGTGAAGACATTTACAGAGACACTACTTGACCATGGGTCAGACCACAAGAAAAGGAAGACACCTGGGATCCCTTCTCACAGATGCTGATAGTGCCTTGAATTTCTGAATTAAAAACTATTATTGAGGAAAGATAGGAAAGAATTGGACGAGGGCTCTGAATGATGAGAAAGTGTGGAACATATCAAGCACTCTTCTAGGTTTGGGATTCAGGAGTCAAGGGGAAGGTAGGAGGAAGACAAGAACATAGAAGACAAGAAGGAAGGGAGAGGTGTGAAGGGAGAGGTAAAAGGCTCTAGAGAAAAAGGGAGGTTGGGAGGGAAAGGAAGATGGTAGACGAAAGCGTGGCTGCCGGATCCACTCACGTGAGAAACAGCGTTTCCTCCCTTTGTGGAGAGCTCTCCTTCCGCCATCTTCAAGCTAAGGACTTTGTGTTTAAGGAGCGATATCCTCTGTTGGGTGCTGCAATGTTCTAGGCCCTGCTATAATAAATACGGCGTCTCACTAGAACAGAGGCTACCACTGTCCCACCTGGGCCCTTTCAGGAGTCCTTGGCAGCCTTACGAGGCACTTGCCATGGAAACTCAAAGCTTTCAACCTTGAGCCTGGGTCTTTGTGTAGGAGGGTTTCTCTGCACTCTAACATGTCCCAAACCTGTAGCCAGGGCAGTGCGGGGCAGGGAAGAAGTGTCCAGGTGTTGATGACTCGCAGAACTACTGTCGACCCATGAGTGCCATTTGGAGATGTGGACCATTCGTTGATTCCTAGCCCTTTGAAGGAAGCAATGATGCCTCCGTGAACACAGCCATTATTGTTATTAGTTTTTTGGAATTGTTATTGTTAGTGGAACTTGCCTGCCGCACGTCAACATGGCCTCGCTGTTTCCTGGGGGCCTATGTCAAACAACCTACTTGTACTCAAATCTTGTCTTGGAATCTGATTTGGGGCAACCTCAAATAAAGGCAGCAAATCTCTTAACAACCCAAAGAAAGCAGTAAAAAGCAACTTCTCATCATTTTATACATGTGCAGATGGATACTTGGGAAGATTAATTCAGTTGTCTGGATCATTTAACTGGTAAATGCCAAAGCCCGGATTCAAATCCAAATCAAGTGATCTTAACACTGAGCTACACAGCCAGGCCCAAATCCCAAGATGTAAAGTAGGCCTTGTGGATATGGTGTGAAAGCCAGAGGCAGTCTGTCTGTCCGTTTGTTTTAAGGTAGCACAAAACTGACTATTATTTTCAAATTCTGACCCTCATTTTTATAAATGCTGCACCAGAGGCGTGTCTGCGAGCTCCGTATGCCTTTCCTCCTGCCCACTTCAGTCGGCTGAAAACTCATCTTGTGGTTTCTCCCCTTTGCTGAGAAGGGCGGTCACAGAGAACTGAGAAGCCGAGCAGATCACTTTTTGCAGGCAGTCAACTTCAATCACATTTGGAAAGTGCTTTGACTCACCAAGTATTCTTAATCTGTGCCTATACTGGTCACACACACACACACACACACACACACACACACACACACACACACACACACACACACATCTCCCATAACAGTTTCTTGTTTTTGGTTTTGGTTTTTTTTGTTTGCTTTTTGAGTAATAATATGAAATGAAAGTGAGTGATGAAAAGAAGTGGAAAAGAAGAAAAATTACATCTAAAACTCACTGGCAGCTCAGAATCTCCTTTCCTTGTCCATGACCATGACTCCCATGCCTCCACATGGGCAGACAAACACTGGAAGGCAAATCTGATCTCAGCTGATTCACTAAGTGGCTGTGTGAAATTGAGCAAATTACCTCACTCCTTGGGGTCTTTGTTGTCCCCTGAGGGGGTGGGGGAGAGTTTCACATGCAGTTTTTTTTTTCCTATTTTAGTATTTCTGTGGGTCTCTCACTCCTGAGATAGCCAGCATCGTGGCTGAAGGAGAATCAGCGTGGCCTCTGGTATCCCACTTTGCACTCTGTGGGAACTGTGTGAGCTTCCTAAGTTCACACATTTGTCTTTGCCTTGCCTGCCGCCCAGGATGTGTTCCCTTCTCCGAGAAAAGTTCAAACCAGTTTTTAAAATTCTTAATGACTACAGAAACAATTGGGCCCTCCTCTGAATCTCTAAGTATTTATTATCGCACCACTGATGCATGTGGCATTAGCACTTACAGCACAAGAAAACCCTGCAAGAGACTCTACAGTAGGCATAGACTATGGTATTAATTGCTGGAGAAATGGTTTGGAGTGCAGTTCTCAACATGTGGTGGAAAAATCACGTTGAGACCCGCTAACCTAAGATTGTGCTCCTTTCTTCCTGATCAGACCCATGCTAGCACGCCACACACTGCAGGCTGAGGATAATTAGTATATAAATGAATTCAAATACCCATATACTCGGTAATGCACAAAATGAAACAGTACCTTTGCAGCAGGAGAAGGGACTCGCAAAAAGGAAACCATAATTCCCACCTGCAGGGGGCAGCAGCACCTCGGCTGTGAGGGCGCAGCGCCTGTGCGGCCGATCTTGGTTCTTTAAGAAAAGCCAAAAACTGAGTCTTTGTTCTTTGTTCCTGATTTTATAATGTTAGCAACAAAGCCAAGTATTTTAAAATACCCTTTTAAGGTCTTCTTTGGCAGTGGGTGGCCTCTTAGACTATGATAATCTCTTCTTCAGTCCAACGTAGGGTGGCTTTCCCAAAAGTGTCTAATTCACCCCAAAGGTGCCCTAAACCAGCTTTGTGACCAGGAAAACGAACTGGACTGGGTCACGTGTCCATCAGATTCTCCTGTTCCCTCTCCCTCTCTCTCTTCCTTCCTCCCTCCTCCCGTCTCCTTTCCCTTATGATAGAAACCTCACGAGATAAATAAATATATTAAATTGTGTATATGCAACACGGGATGGGGAAAACACCATGAAACAAAAAGGATTAGCTGTATTCCCTGGAGGTCCCAGCAGGCGGCAGCCTGACTTTCTGAGCCATCGTGCGGCATCTTGGTGCGCCCTCCCTGCTTATGCTCAGGGCTTCCCCATCACCTCCCAGGGTTGGGCTCCTTCGGAAATGTACCTTCTCAAGTTATAAGTTCTTCATGGTAAACGCCAGTCTCCCTTTTCTACTACAGTCTTAAAGCCATCCCTTCTGGAAACTTCCGACCACCTGCAGATCGTGTTCTCAACCCCTGTGGGCTCAGCCACCCTCAACAGGGACAGCCTGGTTGCATATATCCCGGGAAGACGAGAATATTTTCTTCCCGGGCTTTACCATATTAGAACTCCTGTGTCAGACATACTGCGAAGCTTGAATATTAGACCAAGGTGGGGCTTAATTACTCTTCTTTTGGGGCGTGTATGCTGGGGATTGAGCCCAAGGCCTCTCATATGTTAGCCACGTGCTGCACCACTGAGATACTCCCCTGGCCCAGCAACTCTACTATTGTTAATAAAAGAGAAACAGGAAAGCAGGAAGGGATAGAATTATAAGAGTAGACGTAGGTTAGAAGAGGAAATTATTCCTCACATTTCCAGGTTAATCTATGGGTTTTAAATGTATCCTAGTCTATGGTTCTCATTATTAGAAAAAAAAAATTCAAGATGCATTTAATGCATGGGAAATGCTGTGAACTAGTTCCAGTTAATCAAGTCCAGTTTCCACTGGGGTTCCACACAGAAGAGGACTTTTGTGTTTTGTTATTTGTTTGTCTATTCTGTTACTTTCAGTTATCCTCTCTATAGAACATTAGCATGGTGTCCCTTATTGGAATGAATGATTTGTGCTTTGTAAACACACACACAGACATGCACTCACGTGCATGCACACACACGGTATACCCCCTTGGCACTTCCGTATCCTGAGGGCTGGACTAGACACAACTTGGGCATCTTTCGATCTATAACACAAGCTTGTGCAAAGGCAGCGGGAGTGTGAACGGCTCACGGATTGGAAGGACTTGGTGCTGAGCTCCCTGCGTATTTCTTTTTGTTCCAAAGATTCTGAATGCGTGATGGAGAAGCTGGCCACCCGCAGGCAGAGCTCAGCAATAACAACAAAACCCCAAATAACAAAAACATAAAATGCGTTTTTTAAAAAGCCAGCTTCCTCGAACCAAGGACCGAGAGAGATCAATCTAACAAGATACTCCAGGAAAGACCAGTTGACTGTTACAAAAGCAGTCATGGCCTCGTCCTCACCCTGGCCAGAGGGACTGGTGGAGGTACTTGAATCCCCAGCTTATCCCCTCATAGACTGCCTTCCTTTAGATAAAGTTTATTACATACGTAATCGTATTTTGTGCCCATTTCTCCCCTCACCCAACCAAAGCCAATTACCTGGTAATTCTTTTGCCACGTACTCCTACAGACAACCACTGTGTGGTTACTCCATGGTATGTCTGCAGCCTTGCCCTACAAACACAAACAAAATACATACTCAGCATCTTCATCTGTAAGTAATTCTGGTGGATTTGGGCTAAGGAACCTTGACAGTATGAACTTGTATTACTATTAATTTTTACTCAATTTGATTAGTACATTCTACTTGTTTTACTTTCTCTTATTTGCATAATGATTTTAAAAAAAAACAATTTCTTATTGATTCTTTGGGAATTTCACATCATACTCCCCAACTGCTTGCCTCCCAGTCCCTCCATATCCACCCATTACCACTGCAGCATCCCACCCCCAAATTAATTAAAAATAAAAAAAAACCCAAACAAACAAAAACTCACCTCGATCCTCCGTCTTTCCAACACCTCCTCATTCATCCTAGTGGCATGGGGAGCTGTGGTGTGTCACACAGTATGCCCTTTTGTCCAATCAGCCCACCCACAAAATGTTTATTACAGTGAGTCACTGGTCTGGTTCAAGGCCTCTGACACACCATCATCACTGGGCCCTCATCGATCCTGGAGCTCTAGGATCCTGCTGTTGCCTTTAATCATGGAGATCCTGTGGTTATCATTCCACAGGACCAGTCCCTTCACGCACTCCAGCAGGTCATAGATGGAGTAGATGTTAGGGTAGGCCAACCCAAGGCCCAGGATGTAGGTCTGGGTGGTAGCTGAGCTGGTCAGTCTGGGCCACTGGGACAGCCCCCTCAGGTGAGGGGCAGAGCCAGCTCTCCTGAGTGGGGGGACCAACTATTCCATGGGGGGGGTGTGGGGGGCCAGCTCTCCTGCTGCAGTGTCCACCCAGGAGTAGGGCAAGATATCCCAAGACCAGTGAGGGGCAGGGCCAGCCCAGCACAACCCTCGGATTTCAACAGGCATGGTTACTATGACCCCCTGTGGTGACACAGGCCATGGGTGTCACCACAGACCCCAGCTGCAGCAGGAACATGGGCCTAGACATGGCCCTCAGCAGCAGTCCAGGCCTGCATGTCACCATGGCCCCACTGGCAGCACAGGGCATACAGATCAGTATGGCCCTGGTGGCAGCTAGGCCCTAGAACACCAACATGGTCTCAGGTGGCTGTCCAGACCCGGAGCATCTACTCAGTCCTCGATGGCAACAGGAGCCATAGACATCAATCCAGATCCTGGCTGCTACTGGGCCACAGACTCAGACATGGCCCACAGCATCAGCCCGGGCCCAGACGTCACTATGGCACCTTGTAGTATGCAGGCCACTCTGTATGATCCTGGCTGCAGCATGACCCTCAGACACCAACATGACCTCAGGTGGCAACCCAGGCCCCAGGTATTTGCACAGCCTTTAGTGGTATCAGGAACCACAGACATCAACCCAGACCCTGGCTACAGTAGGGACATGGACCCTGATATGGCCCTACCCTGCAGCCTGGGCTCAGATGTCACCATGGCTCTGAGCTGAAGCACAGGCCACTGAGATCAACATAGCCCCAGTAGTTTCACAGCCCTCAGACACCAAAATGGCCACAGGTGGCAGCCCAGACCCCAGGTATCCCTGTGGCCTTGGTGGCAACCTGGGTCATGAAAGTTAACACAGAACCCTGCTGCAACAGGACCATGGACCCAGACAGGGTCCTCAGCAGCAGCCCAGGCCCGGATATCACCCTGATCCAGGGTGGGAAGCAGCTGCCAACATCAGCATTCCTCACAGCCCTTGATTCTTCAGGACTGCCTCTTCCCACAGCACGCAAACCATTCCGCCTCTCTTTTCTCCCATTTCTCCACTGTACACTTGCTCATCATAATGGCACCCACCTGCCCAGTGTTACAAGGAGCTGGGTGGGCCTGTGGATGCTTCAAGCAGGTTGAAACTTGAGGACCCAGGCTGCCCCATGGGTGTCTTCCGCCCATCTGAGCCGCATGGCATCAGGAGGGCCTGTGGATCACTTAATGACCTTTTCAAGACATATTGCACGTTAGTTCATATAGAACTTCTTACTTATGTTCTGAAAGATGGTTCCTGAGAAGTATGAAACTGTGTCAGGGGCTGGAGAGATGGCACAGAGGTTAAGAGTATTTGTTGTTTTTCCAGAAGTTTCATCCCCAACATCCACGCCTGACTCACAATGCCTGTAACTGCAGTGCAAGGGACCTAACACACTCTTCTCACCTCTAGAGACACCTCCATCCAGGCGGCAGACACACACACACACACACACACACACACACACACACACACACTCACACACACCATTTTTAAGTATTTTTTTAAAAGCTGGTTCAAAAGGTGTGTGCACTTCAATTTTTATGTTTACCAGCCTACGTGGCTTCCCAAAAAACTTTCTCTGTTGTCCAGCTGGCACAGGGCTGAAGGAAGCCTCATTCTACTACCCCACCACAGTTCATTTTAATTAGCAAAGTTATATCTTTGCAAACCCAGTAGGTGAAAACTGGTGTCTTGTAGTTTTATTTTGAGCATCTGTCTTATTTTTAGGGTTCAGTGAGTAAAGCTAGTCACAGATCTCTAAGTGGTCTGTACTGTTAGTCTAGATTCTGTTATCTGTAAACTGGTATCACTGCAGTACATGATATGTATGTGTACATTATGTAGGGTGGCTAATCTTTATATCCTCTTATTTCATAAAATAATATACCTTGCATTTTACTGAATCTTTCTTGTAGAGTTTATTACATAATTTTCCAAGTGCATTTATGTATTTTCTCATCATGAACCATGAAAGTTCCTCCTGTGATTCATGGCTTCATTTTTGTACGTTCACTTTAACTCTGATACTCAAATATGGATGGTTTAAACCCTTAAAGAATTTTTCCCCAGATTTTTGGAGTTTCTCTTCTCTTTAATAAGTTTTCATACTTTACAGAAAAATATTTTTGAAGTTTGATATTCTGTTGGGTAGCTGAAGTCTCTCTTCTTTTTCTGTACTCCTGTTTTCTCTCCCTGTCTGTCTTCTTCTCTTCCTCCCTCCTCTCTTTTTTTCTACCCCTCACCCTTTGGACTCATCTAAGCTGTTGCCACAGCAATCACTTTGTATAATTAGATGCCCCAATTTGGGGAGCAAAGAGAAGGATTTTTCAGGAACATTATGGTTTATTAAACTAAAAGAACCATTATTTTGTTCCTGCTCTAGATGTTGTCTTGATGTTGTGTGTAGGTGGCAGCTAAAAATAACCCTGTTAATATTCTCCTCTGCCTTGTATTCACTAGCATGTTTAGTGCCTCGTTACTAATGAGAATTCATCAAAAAATAATGTAGAATTCTTTGTTTCTGATGGTTGTAATAAGAGCACAATTTGAGTTCAAAGACATCTTGTGAATCTACAAACATGAATATCTAAATACAACTTGCTTGATTGTAAGAAATATAAAGTAGACAAAGACAGAGGATATGGAATTTCTTTTTATTTATCCAAGCCTCACAAATGCTAGTTTCAGGCCTAGGTTAGCTACAGAGTGGTCTGATTTGAAGAATAAAGCTGAGATTAACATGCCATTTCTGTTTTAGGCAATACTTCTTACACAGTAGGGGCACTAAGAATGACATGAAGAGTCTCTATATTTCAAAAAATGGAGGGAAATATTTTGAATGTTCTCACTACAAAGAAAAACAAATAGCCAAGGAGATAGATGAATTTAACCCCATTTAAGCAGTATACAATTTATACATACAAAGCTAATAAATTAAAAACTCAAACAGTTAAATGCTTCTTTAAAAATTAAAAACACCCCTTGATAAGGATTTAGATATTCTAATTTATGTTCTACTTTGTAGCATATTCTGGTCCTGAAGTGTGTGTTCTTTTTAGTCTAAGTGTTACTAGAGTTTACTTGCATTTACTGTTGGAAACCAGAAGTGCTGACAATCATAAACCTAAATGTGACTAGCTAAATTATTCTCAGTCTGATCTCAAGTGGCCCGGCTTCGGTGGTCTCTTTTGGGGTCTGCCCCTGAGTGCTCTGCCCCATACCCTCTCACAAGAGGGAGGGGACCTGAAATATGAATTCACACCTTTTGTCTTTGAACTCTTGAACCTAGAATCTCTGCCCATATGGCTCTGAGTCATCTCTCAGATGTCCACATGTCAAGGACTGTGCCATAGGGTGTGCACTCCAGCAACCAAGGGTGACCACGAGTGAAATGGAGCTTGGATTTACAGAATGGAAGATCCAAACGCATGTACTGGAGGCTCATGTACATACTCATGTACAGTATGATTGACAGGCAGAGGGAGGAGAAGGTAATGTTGGTCGGGCTCTCTTCACATCACTGGTGTTCTCAGCTATTGTAATTTCCTTTCCTCTTGATTAAATACTCTAACAAAAGCAACTTAATGAAGAAACAGTTTGTTGTGACGTAAATCTCTGATGTGCAGGGTTTGTGATCCCTGTGAAAGGGCCATTCAACCTCCAAAGGGGTTGTGATGCACAGGTGGAGAATCACTGTTCTAAGTAGGGTGTGTGTGTGTGCGTGTGCGTGTGCGTGTGCGTGTGTGTGTGTGTGTGTGTGTGTGTGTGTGTGTGTGTGTATGTGAGAGAGAGAGAGAAGAAGGAGGAGGAGGAGGAGGAGGAGGAGGAGGAGGAGGAGGAGGAGGAGGAGGAGAGAAACACTCCAATCCACAGGGAAGCACCTTAGACTGATGGAGCAAATAACTCAGGAGACAGACTCACTGGCTCCTCCTTCCCTATGCCTAGAGAAGCTGTAAGGACTACTGAGAGGTACTCCAGTCATCAACCATTGTGAGGGGGGCTTTGGTGATACAGCTGTCTGGAGTCATTTCAGCTTCTCATCAACCATGGTGAGGGGGGCTTTGGTGATATAGGTCTCCCTGAGTCATTCCTGATCCTCTAAGCAATCTCTCACCCATCCTTCTGTAAGTAACCCCAACAAAACTCATTGGTTCATCAAGTTGAACTTGGCATCTGATCTGTCAAGGGTTCCCTATCTGGGTTGAACAGCTGTTTGTTCTTGCCTCTGTGGAAGTAGTGTCAACACACACACACACACACACACACACACACACACACACACACACACGATCCAGAAACGGAAGGATGAAGGAAAGCTTGCAAGCAGTCAGCTCATTTTTTTTTTTTTATGTTTTATACAGTTAGGGGTCCTAGCCCTGGGAATGAGCTACCCACAGTGGGTGGGTCTTCCTGCCTCAGTTAATGAAAACAAGATAACCCTCCACAGGTATGCACAGAGGATCTTCTCCCAAGCAATCTTACATTGTGTCAAGTTGACCATTAGCACTAAAGATCACAAGTACTTGATGCCTACATTGTTTTTCCTTATTGAATTCTATTGGTGAGTTTGCAGTGACGTAGTTGTTTAAGCACATCTGCATGATGGATATGGTTTCATTCACTTTCTCTAATGCCATACTCTCTTAACTATCATCTTCGTGGTTCATAATTCTAGTCATTTTTTTGTGGGTTACACGAACTTGTCAACCCCTCACACACATTGTGGAGAACATCGTGGGCAGTGCAGTGGGCAGACTCCTCATCATAAATACTGACATGGAATCAGCATAGGTTAAATGCATTAAAGATAATCTCAGAGGCACCAGAATGCATTGAGTTTACACTAGACAAAAGAAAGCTCAGCACTTCCCCTTGGGTTAGTTTGACCAAGGGAATTCTCTCCTTTCTCCCTGTATTTCCATCTGTGTGCAAGTTTTGGTACCTGACTTTGTCTGTAGTCTGTCTCTAAATATGATCTGTCCCTGTAACCTGTGTGCTTACTCAGGGGGTTTGCTCTGTATTTATTGAGAAGCAGAGAAAGCTTGATACGGGGAAGGAATGAGGGATATTTTACAGAGATATTTAACAGAGTTTTACAAAGGATAAAGTTATTGAGTCTAACTGACCCCAAAGTTTTAGTATTACAAATAAACTGTTATCCACTATGTCCATATGATGTATTCAACATTTATGGTCGATATTTGCTGCATAAGGTTGCTCTCTACCTGTTGGCTGTTTTAAGGAAATGATTACCATAATGGACACACACACACACACACACACACACACACACACACACACACATATTGTTCTGAGACAGAGGCATGGAAGAATACATAACTTAAAACCAAAGGTATGTATAGCTTAGGTTGTAAAAGCTGATTACATGGAAAATCCAAAGCAAGTAAGGTGGGCTATTACATTGTTCTCCTTTGTTTTACTTTATTTTGTTTTGGTTTTGGGTTTTCAAGACAGTTTCTCTGTGTAGCCCTGGCTATTCTGAAACTCACTCTGTAGACCAGGTTGGCCTCCATCTCAAAGATCACCTGCCTCTGCCTCCCTAGTGCTGGGATTAAAGGCATGTGCCATCATGCCCTGCCTTATTGCATTGTTCTCTTGAAGGGGTGTTAAACAAACAGGATGAGTACACAGCAGGATATCAGGTCAAGTCTTAAAAGACCTCAAAGTATACTACTAAGTTGACTGTGAGATCCAGCAAAAATTGCAATCTCTTTGAATGTGCAAAATATTTTCATAAAGTCATTCTCACTACAGATGCAAGTAAAGGAGTGAAGAAAACCTACTTAAAACTTAAAAATAAGGCCAAAGGATGAAGCATAGCCTAACATATGTACTCAATTATTATTTAATTCTATAGGAAATATGTCATTATTTGATTTGTTAACACACCTTGGTTTGGTTTGTTATTTATTGTTTGTTAGAGTTCAGGCTGGTGAAATGGTAGCTTAGAGATGTTTTTCAAGACAGGGTTTCTCTGTGTAGCCCTGGCTGTCCTGGAACTCACTCTGTAGACCAGGAGCTGCAAAGAATTTTTGTCTACTAAAAAAAACTATAGCTCTAAATATTTGTTCATTTGACTGCACAGTGTTAAGATACAGGACATTAAGGCTTAAAATTATTCCAGACCTTCAGTAACTGGCTGTGACTCCACTACCTTTTCTGCGAATCAGCTGCTCTGGCTTTCTGGTCTCCCTCTAAAATAGTTAAATAGATCTTGGAAACACTCATTCTATATTTGTATGACTGACATATCTTTAAATTTTGAAAATTGTATTTTGACAATTATGAGAACTTAACCTCATTCAAAGGGGTTACATGAACTGGGTGACTGGTGTTGCTGTTATTCATGACAGAGGGAAAAAGAAGAGAGAATACATTATAAGGAATTTTAGAACATGACAGGTTTTGTTTTGGTATATTAGGTTCTATTGAGGTACAAATATATGATCCACAGATAGAAATCTAAGTTTCAAGAGTGAACTAACTAGAGGGTTATAAAAAAATATCTAAAAATTGTCATCATTAGCATATAGGTGATACTTAAGAAAAAGAGTTAACATTTGGGGGACTGATATGGGAAAATCAACATTAAAAGAAACTAGGGAAAGCTATGAGAAGCATCTGGGAAAACAGTTGCAAGGAGTGTTGTAGAATATTATTTCAAGATATGTTACATTTGTTTATGCTGTAGAACACTTGCTTAATGATGCAAAGATGTGCTGCATTCTTTTATGTTGCATTTGTTTAACTCTGTGAAGCTGTGTTACTATGCCTGTCTAAATCACCTGACTGATCTAATAAAGAACTGAACAGCCAATAGCAAGGCAGGAGAAAGGATGGGAGGGGCTGGCAGGCAGAGAGAATAAATGAGAGGGGAAATCTGGGAGAAGAAAGAACAAGAACAAGAGGGATCAAGGAGGAGGACGCAAGGGGCCAGTCACCCAGCTACACAACCAGCAATGAAGTAAGAAGGAAAGATGGACAAAACAGAAAAAGGCAAAAGCCCAAAGGCAAAAGGTAGACAGGATAATTAAGGTTAGGAAGAGCTGGCAAGAAACAAGCCAAGCTAAGGCTGGACATTTATAATTAAGAATAACTCTCCATGTGTTTATTTGGGAGCTGGGTGGCAGGTCCCCCAAAAGAATAAAACAACAACAATGACAAAGGAGCCCATCGGTGTAACCCAGGGATGCAAACTGAAAAGGAGCAATTGATTAGCAACTAACAATACACAATACCCTAGCACAACTTTCCAGATAAAAGGAAAGGCTCGATTTGCCATGAGTTGGGAGGAAATGAGAGCGTTGGAGATACAGATGGCCATTTAAGGAAATTTAGGTTTAAAACCTAAATTTAAAATATAACAACAGGTTGAAATCCACGTTCCCTCCATCATCATTGTCTATTAGGATCCAGATGAAAAGAACTGAGTTATCAGTTTGATTTCCTGTGTCATTTACTATGCTCATCATGTTTTATTTACACTTTTCTTCCTTTTCCTGTCTCAGGGCTTTGTCTTTGCCTTTTGATATAGCCTCCTTCCAGAGGTTAATGGGAGCACAATGAAGACATGTTGCTCAGATCTTTCCTCATGAGACTCCACTGTGAGGAGCAGAGGAAATGCCTTCTAGCATCCATAGGGTCACAAACACCCCACATTCAACCCTGCACTGGCAGTGATAGATGACTCACTGTGTATGGGCTGTTGCAGGATATTTATTCCCACTGACACTCGGAGACCTATAATGAAGTTTAATCTTGAATCAGGGGGCGGAGTTAGCAACTAGCTGACCAGAATTAGCCATAGAGGTTTTGGAGGACCCAGGATACATATAGAGAGACACAGGAAGTACTAGGGAGGGGTTTAGAAAATTTGTGGCCCTTTTGGATTGGAGAAGGAGATATAGATAGATAGATAGATAGATAGATAGATAGATAGATAGATAAAGAGGCAGACAGACAGACAGATAGGAAGTCACTGGTCATCTCACCGCCACTTTTCTGATAATTAGGTTTTAACCCTGATATCTGACTCCCATGTTTTATTTAATTATAGAACAATATAAGCCAATGCTTCCGTGGTCCTCTGGGATGTCAAAACTCAATGGGTCCTGTGTGCGCCTCCTCTAAGGGTTACCTTTATTTGGGGGCACCTTCTGAACTAAGGCTTTCTTTCTTCTTCTTTTTAAACTGCATGATACACTTTATTCTATAGTAATACTATAGAATAAACTGTCATTAATTTATAACAATATAATATTACTAATTGAAGTCAAACAATCAGAATAAAATGTTTTTACCATACCAAAACATATGTTGTAAGACTTTAAAACTTTGCCCATTATATGTTTTTTTATTCCTCTCACACAATACATCCTGACTGAAGTTTCCTCTCCCTTCTTTCCTCCCAGATCTCCCTCTTCTTCCCCAGATCCACTCCTCCTCTATTTCCCTTCAGAAAGCGCAGACCTCCCAGGGACATCCACTGAACAGGGCACAATGAGATACAATAATACCAGGCACATACCCTTATATCAGGGCTGGGCAAGGCAACTCAGGAGGAAAGGGGTCCCTAGAGCGGACTAAAGAGTCAGAGACATAGCCGGGTGGCCCATGCCTTTAATTCCAGCACTCGGGAGGCAGAGCCAGGCAGATCTCTGTGAGTTCGAGGCCAGCCTGGTCTACAGAGTGAGATCCAAGACAGGCACCAAAACTACACAGAGAAACACTGTCTTGAAAAAAAAAAGGGGGGGGGGTCTGAGAAACTCCAACTCCACTATTAGGAGTCCCAGAAAAACACTCAGCTAACAACCATAACATGTGCAGAGGTCCCAGAGCAGACCCGTGCAGGCTCCATGATTGCCACTTCATTCTCTGAGCCCAGTGAGCCCCGCTTAGTTCCTTCTGTGGGCTGTGTTCTGCTGTCCTCTGCCCTGCGGGCTCCTACACTTTTTCCTCCCCCCTCTTCCATGGGGTTCCCCGAGTTCTGAGGGGAGGGACCTGATGGAGACCTCTAATCTGGGCTCGCTCTCCACCTAATGTTTGGCTGTGGACTGAGACTTCCTTATAACCCTGTTACTCATCCAAGTTCTGATTCAATATTTCTTCCTGCTTTCCTTTGTCACATGTCTTAGAACAGCACTGTGTCTGGAGGTCAAGCAGCCTCTTGTTTGCTCTATCTTACCCCTTCACAAGTATTTCTTGGCCTCTTTTATGCCCCTGGGGTAGGGGCTGAGTGTGACACTGTGGCAATCATTCAGGTCATTCTTTCACCTCAGGTACCACTTTGCCAGACACTCACAAATCTATCCCACTCAGGCCCTGCTCATCTCCATCTCTTCTCTCATTTCGTTTTCTTGTATTGTACCTTTTAATTCTTAAACTACTTTTTTGCATGCTATTTTAAAGTGAATCACAGACATTTTAAACATTTTTACCTTGAAAAACCTCAGTTTGTGTCTCTAAAAAGAACATTTTCATAAGTGGACAAAAATATTATTAGAATGCCTGACAGAATTAATAATTTCTTTGTATAATTGAATTCCCCATTCATATACAAATTTCCTCAATTATCTCCATAATGCCTTTTACAGCTGCTTTGTCAAAATTCGCATCTAAGCCAGGACAAGGCCTTTTTTCGAGTTGTAATAGTCCCTAACTCTTTTAAAATCAAACTCAATCCCCTTTTCTTACTCTGCTTTGGTGAGGGGCAATGACAGATGTCCTAAAGGATGCTTAACTTGCTTGACTTGTCTCATTGTTTCCTCACAGTGCCTTTAAAAGAATAGTGCCTCTATGTCTTAGTTAGGGTTTCTATTGCTGTGAATAGACTCTAAGACCACGGCAACTCTTATGAAGGAAAACATTTAATTGGGGTGACTTACAATTCAGGGGTTTAGTCCATTATCAACATGGTGGGAAGCAAGGTGGCGTGCAGGCAGACAGGTGTTGGAGCAGGAGCTGAGAGTCCTACATCTTACAGAAAGCAGAAGAGACAATAAGCCACTGGCCTGGCTTGAGTGCCTGAGACCTCAAAGCCTGCCCTCCAGGGATACACACACCTCCTCCAACAAAGCCACACCTACTCCAGCAAGGCCTCCACCTCCTAATAGTGCTACTCCCTGTGAGCCTATGGGGGAGGGGGGATTTCCTTTCAAACCACCACACTCTATCATTAATTTCAAACTGAAGATCTGTGCCAGTAAAACAATAACTAACTCCTCCCATCTGCTGTCTCTATGAACTACTTCTTCTAGGTATTTCCCATAAGCAGAATATTATAAAACATATCTTTTTTGTGTGCCTGGCTTATTTCACTTAACACAAAGATTTTAAGTATCAACCATGTTCTAGATATATATTGATTCATTGCTTAAGGCTAAATGATATTTTATTATATATATGTGCTCTCTTTTATTTATTTATTCATTTGTCCACATTTTGACTAATATGAATACTACTACTATGAATATGGATGTACAGTCACCTGTTTGAATTTCTGCTCTCATTTCTTTTGGGCAGCCTTGAGGCATGTCAAGTAGATTTATTTTTTATTTATTTTAAGAATCACCATGGTTTTTCACAGTAATATTTTATATTCCCACCTGCAATCCTTTGACAGGGGGCTGGTGCCTGTCTAAGGGGATCACTCAGTTTGTTCCCTGGCATGGACAGAGAACTGACCATCTGGGAAAGACAGAAGACGATCTATGAGAAAATCAGAGCTTTAGCTTCAGGTTGGTACAAGCCTAAAGCTGGGAGTGTAATAAACAGGTGCTGGTTTGGGTGTTTCACAGGCCCACGGGTCCTCTCCTTTCCCCCTGTTGGGCCTGTTCAGATAGGCCTTTCTACTGTCTCTCCTCATAATGTCTTCTGTGACCAAAAAACCAGCATCTCAGGGACTAGGGCCACTTTCTCTTTCCTTGTCTAACTATATCCTTTAACTTTCCTGCAGTCCCACATCCATATCAACAGTTGTTAATTTGTGTGTTTCAGAGTCATTTTGCTTTTAGTTGACATGATTATTTTACAAATAAAAGGGGGTACAAGTTGATGTTTTTGTTCATATGTGCAGTATTTTGACCAACTCAGGGTACTTAGCATCTCCATCATTCCAAACATTTATCATTTCTGTCTGTATCATACTGAAATCCCCCCTTTCTATCTACTTTGAAATGTGCAATAATTATGACTAGTTATAGCCACTTTGGAAGGAATAAATTACTAGAAATCTCTCCTCCCTGGTAATTGTGACTTTGTGCCCATTGACCAGTCTATTTGTCCCACCCACCAACCTTCACAGCATCTGGTAACACATTTAAACTCTTTGAATACTTCATTTCTGAATGGTACTTCATGGTAGTTTTGAGCAGGAGGTGCTCAATCACTGAGTCATCTCTCCAGCCATGTAATACACTTTCTTTTTTTTTTTTTTTTTTTTTTTTGGTTTTTCGAGACAGGGTTTCTCTGTGTAGCTTTGCGCCTTTCCTGGAACTCACTTGGTAGCCCAGGCTGGCCTCGAACTCACAGAGATCCGCCTGGCTCTGCCTCCCGAGTAATACACTTTCTTTAATGTATCTTAGTTCCTTTTCTTGTCCTTGGGACAAGATGCCAGAGGAAAGCATCTTAGGGACGTGTGGTGGCTTTCATGGGAGTTGCCATGGTCACGGTATCCCTTCACGGCAACAGAACAGTGACTAGGAGAGGAAGGGATGACTCCTTTTGGCTCACAGTTTGAGGGAACAGTCCACAGGGAGAGCATGACGGGAGACAAATGTTACACTGCATCTACAGTGAGGAGGCAGAGAAAGATGATAACGATGCTCAGCTCCTGGTTTTCTTTTCCAGTCCACGACTTAAACCCAAGGAATGGTGCCATTTACATTTATGGTTGCTGTCTTAGTTAGGGTTTTTATTGCTGTGAAGAGACACCATGACCACGGCAACTCTTATAAAGAAAATACTTAATTGAGGATGGCTCACTTACCGTTTCAGAGGTTCAGTTCATTATGGTCATGATGGGGAGCATGGCAGTGTGCAGGCAGATGTGGTGCTGGAGCTCAGTGTCCTACATCTTGCAGGTAACAGGAAGTCGACTGACTGTCACACTGACGGAAGCTTAAGAAAGAGACCTCAAAGCCTGCCCCCAGCATGACACACTTCCTCCACCAAGGCCTCCCCTCCTAATAGCGCCCCTCCCTTTGAGGGCCATTTTCCTTCACACCACCACAGCTGCTCTTCCCACCTCAATTAACCCAATCTAGAAACTCCTTCCCAGACACACACAGAGGTTTGTTTCCATGGTGACTTTAAATCCTATCAAACTGACAATTAAAATTAAGCATCACAGTAAGTTAACCATTTCACTTTTACATATAAATGACTAAGCTTGAACTACTTTGCTCTACTTGAACAATGTATTTCTTTTATTCTGTTTTAAAAATATTCTATCAGATTTCTGTAGCTTAGATAGATTGTCTAAGGATGACAGTAGGAAAGTGATTTATGCAAATGAGGTTGACTACAAAGATTCTTAGAAACAAGTTCTGTGAGGGACTGGCAGAGCAGATTGGGCAGAAGGAGAAGTTGAACCATGAGATAATTAAGTCAGATGCGTCAGAGGGTTGCATAGTGAACCATAAAGTTGGAGAAGTCTCTTGGTTTCCTTGTATGAGCAAAAACAATTGCCTTCCTCCCCTTCAAAAATCTTTGGATGCATTTTGCCTGCATGGAAGTTGTATGCTCTTGCTCAAGGCATCTACTTTGTGGACAACAATTTCCCAAGAGGAATTGACTGTGAGTTTTCAATAGCCAGGACTCTCGGAATCTGGAGGAATAAGTTTTTTGATTCTAAAAAGGGAATATAAGTGGTACTCCATTGCATTACTGTAGCCCTGATACAGCATCATTTTGGATTATGTCTTTTTGAAGAAATGGCATTCTTATTAAATTGTATTTTTAAGACTTTTTAATTATCGTTGGTTTCCTTTATGGCAGAAAAATAAATATTGTCTTCACCGTGCCACTGAAGGCATTCACCTTCTGTTTCTCCATCTCTATTGCTTGGAATCCATTCAGTTTTTCCTCTTGAGAGTTTTCCTCTAGGTAAACTGTGTTAGGTCAACAGCTTTTTAGGCTTCTTGTATCCTCCTTTGCCTCTGTTGACTTGTGAAATGTTTTCACTTAATATTGCTGCCAGAACAAGTTTCTACAAGCCTGGTGGCTTAAAACAATCTTACTGGTGACGCCACATTTCTGTGGATTAGCTTTTTTAGTAGGTTGAAGTAAGTTGTTGCTTAGGATCTTGCAATTCCTACAAAGGTATGTGCAAGGCTAGACTCCTTTCTGGAGGCTTTGTAGATGAATTTGCTTGTTCAGAATGTTAATCCAAATCAGCTCCTTGCCTTTCTAGGATGGAGGTTTCCCTGCTTTTTTTGAAGGCAATTTTGTTAGTTTAAAGGAAAGACAACATGGTAGGCAAGTTCTAAGTCTTGGTAGCTTCCCAGAGAAGATGAGAGAAGCAGCTAAAACACCATGCTGCTTGTCAACACCACTGAATTTGAGTGACTGCAAACTTTTTTTTTTTTAATGCTGAAGGCTTTTGCTCGCTACCTTGGCTACAAAATAAAAATTCCATAATCACCACGCATTGAATTTAAAGCACAGGAATTAGCTCAATAATTTTAAAATGTGTTGTATAAAAATCCAAGTGGATTAAATAATTTTTAGTTGCAGACACAAAAATTTGTTTTTCAGTTTTGTCTATGTTGACTAAATTCAGTTTTCCAACTTTCAGTTACTGTTGTTTTCCTTGAAGTGATTTCATTTTGATTCTATGTATTAGAAGCATCAAGTTTATAATTTGTGTGTGTGTGTGTGTGTGTGTTTGAATGTCTGCCACAGCCATGGCACCTGTGACGTGCTCAAAGACAACTTCGTGGGGCTGGCTCTCTCATTCACTATGAGTTTCTAGCAGGGTTGCAGGGGGTGGAGATCCCCCTGTGGTCACCAGGCTTGTATGGGCAACGCCTTTAACCAATGCACTATCTTGTTGGCCTATTTGAACCTCCCCTTTGAAGTACTAACTTTAAGTAATAATTGTTTCTTTCCTATTTTACTTCCTAGAAGTCTGTGAAATTTATGTGTTGCAAGAATAAGCTTAATATTAAATGAGAATACTTTCACCAATTTATTTATTCTATTAAGTTCCTTTAAAAATTATCTCATATTATTTTTCAGTAATTTATTCCTTCTCATTTAGTTTATTTTGTCCTTTGTTTCAAACATCCTCATATAAATGGTTTATTTTCAGCTTTATCTAATAATTTAATATTTAATAATACCAGATATTTTATTTGGTACAAATAGTCGGCTAAACGGAAAGTAGAATCTTGACCTTGAAGACATTCAGCTTAGTAGCTGAATGATTCAAGTGAGCGTCAAGAGGCTTGGTGGGTAATGAAGATAACACACACAAAAAACAGTGCACAGCACCAGAAAATACAGAGCAGAAGCAAGCAAATCCATCTCAAATCGCACAAAAGAAGAAAACGGTGGTTTAGGTAGTTTCATTGCAAATAACCAACAAACCAACATAATTATAAGCCTAGTCCAGTTTGCCTTGGAAAACCTAGCCTTGACGGCGCACGCCTTTATTCCCAGCACTTGGGAGGCAGAGGCAGGTGGATCTCGGTGAGTTTGAGGCCAGCCTGGTCTACAGAGTGAGTTCTTGGAGTCACTCGGAAAAGTTGTAGGGGGGGGGGCACGCTTAGGAGCTTGGTAGTTACTGAAATAAGATTGGAGAACAGAGCTTTCAGATTGACGTTTCTGAGTTGCACGGGCCACCCAAAACGGCGGATCTTTTCGCGGACCTGGATCCCCAATGACTGCTCCCTCTTTTAGAGCCGGCTGCCTGTGCTACGCCTTCCCCCTTCCCTCCCTCGAGGCTGTCCGCGCGTGTCTAGCACACCGTGTCACGCGTGGAGCGTGGCCTTGACCGCCAGCGTGGGGACTATGACACAGGCAAAGGATCCCGGACAGCATCTGGCCAATCCGAGGGGCCGGAGAGGCGGCGGAGCCCGAAAGGTGAACTTGATTGACAGGAACTGTGACCAATGAAAACCGAGGGCCAGCGAGGCTTCCGCCCCAGTGGGCCGACCCTTGGCCGTCTTCAGCCAATCGCGGCCGGAACCTCCTGTTGGGTGGGCGGTCCCCGAGGCCGTGGAGGTTGGCGGCTGTTGAGCGGGTCTCGTGGAAAAGTCCTCGAGCGGACCATCTCTGTCGGGAGAGAACATGAGTTTAGCCTTGAGGTCGGTAACGCGGAGGCCGCGTCTCCGTCCCGCAGAGGGGCAGGGCGGGCGTGGAAGGGAGGCCGGGCCGGGAGCGGAGCCCGAGCATCACGGCCGTCCCCGCCTCCCGGACGCCGCCGCCGCCACCACCGCGGTGCGGCCCTGGGCTGCGCACTGCGCCGCCGCGCCGGGAGTGAAGTCTCGCGAGGTTTCCTCCTGCCTGTGCGGTCCTTAGGACGGTCCCGGAACGGCTCCCTCCCGGGTCCGGGGGCGCGCTGTGCGTGTGCCGACCCGGGCGGACCGCTGTCCGCGGTTTCCTCCGGCCACGGCCCTCGCCCCTTGGCTCCCCGTCCGTCGGGCGACGCCCCCGGCGGGCTGTGGCGGGCTGTGGCGGGCTGTGGCGGGGCCCGGGGCCGGCCACCGTCCCGGCCTGCTCAGCCCCGAGCCCGCCCTCTGCCCCGGAGCTACCTCTTTCCAAACGTGCGGAGGAGACACGTGCTGCGCCCTCGTCTAACATTTGGGCCGCCTGCACGCTGGCAGCCTTTAAGGCAGACGTTTTCGGCTCCAGAGGCCCCCTTTTTAGATGCTCTCTTAGGCTTCTCCAGAGTTTTTCAATGAAGACCTTTAACCCAGCGTTTATCTGTGAAGGGAGCGTTGCAACACGTCTTAAACAGCGCATAGACATAAGCACAAACATCAGATGCTGTTACTTGGGGCGTTTAGTAGTTTTATGTTTAGGTGCCTTTATATTCTTGCCTGGTTAATATCCGTGGAATAAAACCACAAAAGCACTGTTAGAAATGTATACTCTAAAAGCATTTTGAACTTACAGTGCTAAAGTAACTTACCTTTTAAAATTTTTTGTAGTAATTGTGAGAATTTAATTATAAGCCGTCCAAGGCAAACCAAATACATCGCGGTTGTCATTTATGAAGTTTACTTTCATAAGGTTTTTTTTTTTCCCCACCCCCACGCTCTTGGTAGGTGACATGAATAATAACTATGGTGCTTTGGCCTTTGGTATATAAAAATACATTTGGACTACGGGACATTGACTTAGGGACAGTTTCTTTATTCTCCAGACTACTCTACTATGCTTTGTTTGGAGTTTAGAAGCTCATTCTTTGTCCTAAGTGAGTTGGGTTGAAGTGGACTAAACCCATTTTTCTGTGTCATAGAAGTGAGCTTGTAGTAGACAAAACAAAGAGGAAAAAACGAAGAGAGCTCTCTGAAGAACAGAAGCAAGAAATCAAAGACGCGTTTGAGCTCTTTGATAGCGACAAAGACCACGCCATAGATTATCATGAATTAAAGGTAACAGTGTACTTCATGACACATCCCTTTTGTTTCAATGAATGCATTTTTGACTGTTGATTTCAAGTATTTTAAAAGCGTGGTTTAGAACCAGGAGGCTGTTTTCAGCACCCACCTACAGGTGCTCAAATAAAACTGAATAAAAACCCCTAATATGGCTTTTAGAAACTTGAATTTAAATGTAAAAGCACATTTTGGTGGAAAGTATGGTTTTTTCATTCACCTAGTTAAGAACAAACAGTTCTTAGCATATTCTTCCCATTTTTGGTTTCTTTTGGAGGACAGTGTAGTTCCGATTTTTAAAAAGCCATGTATGTGGCGTGTGCACGTGCACGTGCTTGTGCAGGCACACACACCACAGTGTGTAGAGCTTCCGTGTGGAGGGCAGAGCGGTTTGGGTGTCTTTCATCACCTCGCTACAGTGGAAGCTCATCACTTGGCCTAGGTTGGCTGGAGAGTGAACATGGGGATCACACCTGTGTCCACCCCTCAGGGCTGGGGTTCCGGCCCCTGCAGCCATGCCTGTCTATGTGGGTGGTGAGCTTCCGACTCCAGTCCTCATGACTGCAGGACTAGCCCTCGTACCCACTGAGCTATCTTAAGTGCAGCATAGACAATTTTGAGATTCAGAGAATGTTGCCTTTGCTCAGACATTTGTGAGATTGAAACTGTTGTCTTTCAAGCTTTTATTTTTCATTTATTTCTATTTTTCTGAGACAGGGTTTCTTTGTGTAATAGACCTGGTTGACCTGGAACTCATTTTGTAGACCAGGCTGGCCTCAGATTCACAGAGATTTGTTTGCCTCTGCCTCCTCAGTGCTGGGATTAAAGGCGTGTGCCACCACCGCCCTGGCTCGAGCTTTTAATTTTTAAGATAATACTAACACATTCTTAGTTTGCTTTTCTTTGCCACAAAGGATGTAAATTGTCTGATGCCTAATGCTGATACATGCTGAGGGACCATATCAAATTTAAGACTTAAAATTACTAATAAGGATGGAAGGGGAAATTGGTCTTACATTCTTATGTTCAGCCTAGTAAGAAAGATAACATTTTGAGGTCTTTAAGTAGCCTTAAATGTTTGTTTAGTAGTTTTAAATTTAGCAGCATCATAGGAGATTTTGAAGCAATCCAAGTAGGGGCAGGAACGATGTAGTGAGAGGCTAGACTGTCTAAAGGTAGTGGTAGGCCTGGCCCTCTTGAGGTCCTTCTTTAGCTCATTCCGCATAGCATAGCAATGTTCTGTTGTTGCCGCCACCGCCGCCAGCCTCCCCCACAGAGCACGAGTTATTCCTGTACAGTGTCATAGCCATTCGTCGTCATTGACTCCCATGGTTTGGGACTTTATTTCACAGCTGGAGCTTCTTCACTTCTGGTTCGCCTTTCTTTCAAACGCCCATTAAGTTTGCATCTTTAATTCTTGGAGCATGTTCATTGCTGTGAACCTTGACTGGCTGCTTCATGCACACTGAGTGGAGCTCCCACTGCCTGCCTGTTCTTTGGAATGCTGGATTTTTTCCCTCTGCTTTTCTCACTTGCTAATGACTTCTACCCGGACTCTTCCCACCTAGAGAAGGAACCAGCTCAGTTTGTCCCAGTGTTTGTTTGGGCATTCATTGTAATCCCACATTCTTACCACCAATTTACCTGCTGATTAAGAAACGATTGGATTCCATAAGACGTCACTAACTAGTGACACAGCTTTCCTTTCCTTTCCTAACAGCAAAATGGCTTCTGTTTAAATTACTCCCAACTAATTTCTTGATAGCTAATCATGGTTGCTCCGATGGGAATGCTGTTTGTTAGTTTTTTTGAGAAAGGCTCTTTTTCTTTTTGTATCCCATACTAGTTTCAACTTATGACAATCCTTCTGTCTCAGTCTCCTGAGTGGTAAGATTATAAAGTTCATGCAATTTTATGTTTTTTACTGCATTTATTTATTTATATTTAATTTTTGGGACAGGGTTTCTCTGTGTAGTTTCTCTGGATGTCCTGGAACTCACTTTGTAGACCAGGCTGGCCTCCAACTCCGAGAGCTCTGCCTGCCTCTTCCTGAGTGCTGGGATTAAAGGCGTGCGCCACCGTGGCAGGCTGCTTTTGTTCTCTTGGTTGGCCTTTTAATATTTATGACATGTTTTTAATGCCTTGGTAACAAATGAATTGTCATCTGTGTATGTAGTGCACTGTCTTATCTATTTTGTGTAAACTCTTCTTTAATTAGTTGGTTATATAAAATAGCAAAATGTTAATTAAAAAAATTTCTATATAATTTCAAAATGAAAAACCAATATAATATCATTTTGTTATTTTAGAGATATAAAATGCAAAATAATTGTGCTTTAGTAATTCATTGTCATCTTTTAAGATGAAAAACTTTCTTAGAAATCAGTGATTGCTTCTTTTGTAAGGAGTGTTTTATAATTTGTTTTTCCCTTTTAATCCAAAAGGTGGCAATGAGAGCCTTGGGTTTTGATGTGAAAAAAGCCGATGTACTGAAGATTCTTAAAGATTATGACAGAGAAGCCACAGGCAAAATCACCTTTGAAGATTTTAATGAAGTTGGTGTGTACTTAAGTAGTCTTTGTAACCCATAGTTTTGGGAAATTACAAGGTTTTTATTTGTTTTCTAAGAAAAAATACTTTGAGCTATGCTGTGAGAATTAGTTTTGACTTTTGTTGTGATGATTTTAACAAGGAATTATTGTGCTACTTTTTCTGGTTTATTAATATTATGTCGAAAGGGTGACCAAAAAATACTTCTTGTCAGTAAAGCAAAAAATTTAGTATCCTAATGTTGAGGAAATATTTCTGAAGACTTTTTTGCGCTGTGTGACTTTGTTGGTAAAGTGGGAGAAGACAGAAGTAGTAGGACTGGGTGTCTTGGTGGGAGATGGGGAGATGAATACATCTTCTAAGTGGACAGTTTATGAGGCTCTGCTCTTTTAACACCTCAATCTTTGTGCTGCACGCCATCTGTTGTGAAGTTGAAGCGATGGACAGGCCGTTGTAAGGGAGATCTTTGGCAGTTTGGAAGCATGAGAACTTGAGATGGTATGAGCTTAATGTGGCTGAAATTTTGGATATTTGATTTTAATGAGTTACTCATATACAGAAAAGGCTTTTTCACTAGAGGATTCTGCAAGTCTAGGAATTGGCTATTGTAAATTAAATATATTGCCTACAATGTTATACGTAGATTATATAAATATTTAGGTTCAGTTTTGTTAAGCTACTGTTCTAAACCAATGATACTGCTTTAGGGATTGTAATGTAAGCATGCCACGCAGTTATTTTCATATATTAAAAAAACTTGAAAACTAACACAATTATACATACACACAAAACCCTTAGTAGTTAAATCTTAAAGGAGAAATAACAGGTGATGAGAAGACAGAGAAGATAGATTCATACTCTCTCTTTCTCTCTCATTGAAGAGCTCATGCCCAAAGCACAGGAGGCAGAAGTAAAGTGACAAATCTAAGAGGAAGAAACATTTCCCACAACACAGAAGATCCTCAGCTTAGGAACCAGTGTCCGACTGTTTAGAGACACAGATTGTCCACTTTAGAAGTGGATTTATTTTTCCCCCTCTAATCTGTAGAGTTGTTTTCCCTCAGTCTAGGTAGTCTCCTGAGGTTGATCACAGTACCCAGGCGTTAACATGGGACATTTATAGAAGCCAGGTGTCAGGACATAGTGGAAATGATGCGTCTACGACAGAGCTGTGATGGAGGCACATATAGAGCACAGACTACTTTGGAACCAGATTCCCTCCCTGGCTTCCCATCTTGGTTCTGACTCTAAATGTCTGTGAAACTTGGTTAGTTTACCTGTCTGTGCCTCATGTTCTCCTATAAAGTGGGGATAGTGTAATATATCAGTTGAGTAACATGGGAAATGTTACATGCTGTAGTATGTCAGTAGAGCTACTAAATGCTGTTATTATGATTAAGAATAATCCCCAGCACTCAGGAGGCAGATGTGGTCCATGCTCTGTGAGTTTGAGGTTAACCTGGTCTGCATAGAGAGAGGGCGGACAATGAGTCCTTTGTTTTATTTGTTGCTGAATTCAGAAGCTGGAAATATATTTGCATTGTCTTATTTTCTATTTTTCATTGTTAAAGGCTACTTTAAACATTATTCATAGTTTTGTAAAACAACTTTTACATAAACATCATTTTAAGAATTGTAATTTTTATATTTTAGTACTTAAGAACAGAGTTCCATACTACTTAGACCTTAGCTTTCTTTGTTGTTGCCTAAGACACTGTCCTCCAGATAGTTCCAGATGAGCCTGGCACTTGCTGAGCTTTCCCCGTTGTAAGAAAGAAGCATTAAATACGTTCAGTGCAGGATAGTTAGCGTCTGGCTAGTGAGCAGCAGGTGTGTCAGGAGCTGCTGCCTTTAAGGTACGATTAGAAGTGAGATGTTTTTATACTCATCTGTTCCTGGCTTGTACTACTTACATTTTAAATTCTATCTAAAATAAAAGATTATATTGTTTTCATTTTGATTATTTATCTGACACTGGAATTTTTGCATTTGGTGGGAAGAATGAGAGTTAGTGAAAATTACCAAGGAATTGTTGTCAAGTCCTCAGGACTTAGGTATAGGTGACAATAAACTGGTTCTGTGGGATGGAGGGAAGACTGTTAGCTAGGGCTGAAGTTGTCAAACTGTAGCCCTGGGACTGAGTTTGACTGCACATGCTCTCTACCACCCATTTATTCATGCTGCCTTCCGCTACTGTGATTGAGGGAGTAGCTGAGACTGTGGGTTTAGTCTTCCGAAAACCTAAAATGGTCTCTAGCTGGCCCTTTCCTCGAAGTATCTCTCAGGTTTTCATCCAGAGAACCCAAGTGCTTGCAAAGGGGAATTTTAGTTTAAATCTTTAGGAATCTAAGATTGCCAGGATTGTAGTAGAGGAGATGCAGTCCAGGCAGAGAAAGCAGCCAGGCAGAGTGGTACTCAATGTACAGCATGTTTGAGAAGTTTGATGTCATGTAGTCCCCTCGGCTACAGAAGGTCAGAGCACAGAGAAGGTAGAATTGGGTCAGACTGATAGTCTTAAGTAACATACTAAAATTTGCTTTAGTCAGCAGAATTTTTTTTTAAAAAAGTAGCTGATGAGAAGATTGAAGATGAGCCGAAGAGAGTCTGGAGAAGACAGAAAGCTGTAGACTTTATGGTCAGGATTGCTCGGATGAAAAGAAGGAGGGTTCTGTTTGAGAGTGAAACGGATGGTATCCTCAGAACTGGAGTATCCAATACTGAGTGACCCTCACAGACTTGGAAATGTTCCCACTGTTTCAGAGTAAGGAAAGGATGAGTTACCCCCCAGTCAGTGGAGGTCAAGGAGGCTGCAAAGCCGAAGGGAGCTAGCGAAGGACGGACGTGAAGGTTCAGTATTTGTGAGTTTGAAGTAAGTATTGGATGTTTGCCTAGGAACTTTCTAACATTGTCTCTCATGGTTTTTGATTTACTTTGAATGCATTAGCTGTTTCCTTACATTTCCTTGACTGCATGTGTGTTAGTTGCTTCAAGTCCTACTGGATTGTAGGTGTGAGCCACCATGCCTGGTTTGTTTCCATTGAGAGAAGATTTTCTGCGAAGAAATAGTACTTGTAGAACAGAAATGGAGGTGAAGTTGTGGAGGAATGTCATTGTAAAATACTTTATATGGGTAATGCTTCAGCTGGCAGTTACAAGTCCTAAGAAAGCTGCATTCTATGGGAGAGTGTTGGTAGGTGATCTAGACTCATCTATCTGAAGTACTAATGGAGTGTCAGTGGGGTAAGTGTTGGTACATCTTGGCGTCCCATCTGTTGTTTCTTTAAGTGCATTAGTATTTTCGGCAGTCTGCCTTTCTGGTTTACCTGTCATGTATGTTACTTAATCGATGAAGATATTTCATAACACTTTTTTCTTGTCCTGCTTTCTTGTTGGGACTGATTTCAAAATAAGTTGAGTGTGTGCCATAGAGTTAAGTGTGGTATTTTATTTTGGTGTTATGGCTGTAGGTATGCCAATTCTTTTTATTGAATATTTATGAGCTTTGATTTGCATACTTATAGTAATATAGTTCAATTAGTTTCTTGGAAACCTTTTTTTGGATAAAATTAATGGCTAAAAGATAATTTTGGATATATGTGTAGTTGATGGACCATTAGCTTGACTAGGTGCTTATTCAGCCAAATACAGATGAAATAGCAATAGACAACAACTTGTAGAAGACTTAGATTGTATTTTTTCACTTTGGGCTCATTAAACATTCCAGTACTTCTGGCTACAGGCGTTTGAAATTTTCAAATGAATCTATAGATCCCAATAAGACCAAATTACTTTTGATAGTATAATGAAAATAATAAATGCCTTTGCTTGTAGCAGAACAGCATGTGGAGTTGCTTCAGAACTGTTTACCTAGATATTTTGAGAATTCTATCAAGCAACATAAAATTTTATAGACATTAATTTGTATTGACTACTGATTAAAGGCCTATGTTGTTAAAGTATATATACTTACTTTATTGATATGTGGCTTTATTTAATATTTTAAGTCTGAAATGACTCATTTCTATTGAACTAGTTTGAGAATTATTAATTTGCTTAAAAAAAAGAAGAAGAAGAAGAAGAAGACATGATTTAGACCCCTTCCAGAGCTGTTGGTTGTGATTTACTGTGATGAGGTTTAGTTGTTTTAGCCCATCTCCAGTGTTGCTGAAAGTCAACTGGCTCTCTTAATCACAAAGATGCTGTAAGTGTTTGCATGTGCTAACTTGTGTTAGCTTTTTTGGTGATGGCAGTATCTTTGATTAATCCCTATGGCTAAGTTGGGTGAAATTTGAGGAAGAATCAGGATGTCACACTGGCTAAGAGCTCTCATCTGGTTAGCGCTCATTGTTCACTTCAACTCAGTGGCCTGATAGAGGTGGAGCAGTCACTTTTTCAAAAATTGTTTTTATGAACTTAATTATGTGTTATATTTACTATTATGTTTTGCTCACATGTGTCTTTGTACCATATGTGTGCATGGAACCTATGTCAGAAGAGGGCATTGGATCCCCTGGAACTGGAGTTATAGACTGTTGTGATTTGCCATGTGGTTGCTGGGAGTTGAACTCATATCCTCTGTAAGAACAAGTGCTTCTAACTGCTGAACCATATCTCTGTCCCTAGCTTAGTAATAGTGGGCTTTAAATAGTGTGTGTGTGTGTGTGTGTGTGTGTGTGTGTGTGTGTGTGTGTGTGTACTCTTTTTTGGCCTTTGTACAGTATAGTTTTGCCTACATTTATGATATTTATAGACACTAAAAGATTACCATTTAAAGTCTGGATTTGGAATTCACGTTTTATCTCTGGAGTTTTAGTGATCTACCTTGACATTTAATTCTTAGATGGAATGTTGTCAGACTCACAGCTGTTACCTCATTTAAGAACTGATTTTTACAAATGAATGTTCTCTGACTATACAGGCTTTGTTAAAAAGTTTCTTTTAACTCTAGTGACAGACTGGATATTGGAAAGAGATCCACATGAAGAAATCCTGAAAGCATTTAAACTATTTGATGATGATGATTCAGGTAAAATAAGCTTGAGGAATTTGCGACGTGTTGCCAGAGAACTGGGTGAAAACATGAGTGACGAAGAACTCCGGGCTATGATAGAAGAATTTGATAAGGATGGTGATGGAGAAAGTAAGTTGTGCCTTACTTTGTTCTAAAATCTGATGTTGATTTTCAAGACTCCAAGCAAATTTTCTCTCCCCTCCATTTCATTCTCTTTTGTGTTGAAGATGAGCTTCATGTTTTCTTGAACTTATTTCAAGTTTGATCTTGAACTTACAATTTTTTTTTTTTTGCCTCAACCTCCTGAATAGATGGGAGTCCAGTTGGGTGTCAGACTCTGTGAGCTTCTGTTTATACCTAAGCAGGTCTTTAAAACAACTACATAAGTTATAATATGAAATCTACACACTTCTCTGAAGATGAAGTAACACCAAAAGTTAGCTACTTACTAAAAGTTTAGATTTTAATGCTTTCTTTCTCAACCAGCTTGCACTTCTGAACTATTACTAAATTAGCTGATTTTCTTTCAACCACTTTTTTTTAAATTGTCCTCTGCTGCTCTGATTCAGGCCCTGATTTCTATTTAAAGTATTGCAGTACTCTGTCCCTGGCTGCCTGTGTTCTGTGTGCACCTGCCCCGCACAGCTGTATTGGTGTCTCTTACAGCCTTCCCATTGTCTTCTGGACTTAGAAATCTCCAGTCTCTTTCTTCATTCCATTGATAACATTTTTTTCCTAAACTGTGGGCTATAATGTTATCATTCTGTGTTCAGACACTGAACAGAGAGAGTCTTTACTACCTGCAGAGTAAAGTACCAAGCCGCCCCACGCCAGTCCTATACTTAGTACTCGTTTATTTCTGTTGTGTCGTCCTTTGCTATGTTAACTCTCACATACAGAACACTGTGTCCTGAAGACAGTTTGTGTTCGCTTTTCCTCATGCTGTTTCTTCGTCTTAGGGTGATTGTCCATTTGTCTGTGGAAGTGTTACCCACTTCCCAACCAAGTGCATTTGAAGCACCATCGTTTTCTCAAAGCCTCTACAACGGTGCCTGTGGTTGGGGAGGGTTCCACCACGGCTTCCAGCATTTAGAGGAGCAAGCTGCTTTGATACTTTAATATATTTAATATGGATCCTCTTGGCTGCAAACCAAGTTTTGTATTTTTTTGCATTTTAAACTGCTGAGGATAAAAATACTTGGCTGCCTTTTTGTGACCTTTAGTAACTCATTTGTTCTTATAAAAGTTTAATGCTATCCAGTTTTTAAGAATAACTATTTTTTCAACTTTATGGACTTAAAGTAATAAAGACAGTATATGTGGATTTGAAGATAAATAATATATACTACAATGTAGGCATAAATGTATAGGCATATGTGATAATATAGAAGTAATAGCACCCCAGTCTCTCAATATAAGTAATATAAAACAAAATGTAGTATGTGCTTTTATGAAGACGAATGCAACATTTAAGAAGCCATAGTAGACCACTTTTTAAATAATGATGGTAATGGTGGTTGGTGTCTTAGGGTTCCTATGACGGTGATGAAACAACATGACCAAAAGCAACTTGAGGAGGAAAGGGTTTATTTGACCTACATATCCTGAGTCACAGTCCATTGAGGGAAGCCAGGGCAGGAACTCAAACCAGGAAGGAACCTGAAGGCAGGAGCTGATGCAGAGGGCATGCTCAATTGCTTTCCAGGGGGAAGAACTAGGAGGGCACGGTCAAAATCTGAACAAAGCAAACCAAAATCCCAACTATGTACAATAACTCAGTGTCTCATGTCTGGGATCCATCCACTTAGAATCTTCTGGGTTCCTCCAAAGGGCCTGAGTTACTTCTCTTGCTCTATCATCGTCAGCCACACAGATTGTCTCCTAAGCTCAAGCCAGCTCCACTCCAAGGCTGCTCTTGGTGGTCCTCCCATGATACTGGCATCTTCAGACTTCTGGGGTCTTTTACTGCAGTTGGGCAACATTTCACCAGTTGCCTCTTCTGAGCTGTCTTTAGGGACTCCAGCCCTGCCACACAGTGCCAATCCCCAGCTGATCTCCATGTCCCCTTCATACCTTCAAAACCTGTACCACCTGGATGATCTTACATCGGTCCGAGTTTGCCTGCCTGCCAGCATAAGGTACAACCGTGGCCACCTCTGGACCACAGCTTCTGTGTGCTAACTCTGAGGAAACAGTTTCTAGAAGTCTTTACTTTAGGATGCTGGTCTCTTCTTAATCCCCACTAAACTGGCCAGCATTATTTTCCCAGCAGAGCAAAGGTTTCACTAACGTGATCTAGTGATTTCACTTTGGTGGTTTCGGTATCTTGTTGATCAGGGCTGATTCTCCAGCCCCATCTAACCAGAACCACATATTCTTAATTCAAAATATTCAACAACTGCATTAGAGTCTTCAGGTGATTCTCAGACTTCCCTCTGGAATTTCATAAGCCAGGCTTCCATCCTCTGCTTATCTTCATTCAACCACAGAATAGCTTACCAAGCTTTGAACACTCAATGGCTTTTCTAGCCCAAAGTTCCAAAGTCCTTCCACAATCCTTCCCAAAACAGCTGTGGTCAGGGCTCTCACAGTAATACACCTCTATCCTGGTAGCACTTTCTGTCTTAGGATTACTCTTGCTGTGATGAAATAGCATGACCCAAGCAAGTTGGGGAGGAATTTAACTTACATATCTTGAGTCACAGTCTATCAAGGGAAGCCAAGCAGGAACTCAAAAAGGGCAGGAACCTGGAGGCAGGAGCCAATGCAGAGGCCAGGGAAGATTGCTGTTTACTGGTTTGTTCCATATGGCTTGCTCAGCCTGCTTTCTTATAGAATCCATGATGACCAGCCCAGGGGTGGCACCACCCACCATGGGTTAGGCCCTTCCACATCAATCAGTAATTAATAAAATGCCCTACAGTTCTGCCTATAGCCCGATCTTACGGAGGTGTCTTCTCAGTCAAGGTTTTCTCCTCTCAAATGACTTCAGCCTGAGTCAAGTTGACATAAAACTAGCCAGCCCGGTCGGTGTTTATTTAGCAGTTACTATATAGAAGCAAATATAAGTAGTTTTTAGCTTGTGAACTGTGTTACTCAAGTTTCATAATAGCTTTCGTAAAATGGATATAGATTTACAGCTGTACACACATACGATGGTGCATATATGGTAGATGAAGGTATGAGGCCCAATTTTATCACAGAGCTAATTCATGGTGGTACGAGAATTCAAACTCAGTTTTCTAAATGACAGAGAACATACTGTTTTGTTTGAGATAGAAAGTAAAATGTTAACTAGACCTCCTGTTATGGGAAACAGTGTATTAATGTATTGACTGGCGCTTCTGATGATAAACTTTGTTTTTTCCTCCTGAAGCCAGATGGCCTCTCCAACTTCTCTCTCTGTCTCTGTCTCTGTCTCTCTCTCTCTGTCTCTCTGTCTCTGTCTCTGTCTCTCTGTCTCTGTGTGTGTGTGTGTGTGTGTGATTTCTCACCTTCCTTGTTGAGTAATGACTGTCCTGTTTCTGCTCCTGGACTACGTACTCCGGCTAGCAGGCCTGTGAGGAGGTGCCAGTCTCTGTAGGCATGCTGAGACTACAGATGTGCACCATCCCATCCAGCTTTTTACCTGGGTTCTGGGATTGAACTCTGGTCATCAGGCTTGTGTGACTCTTACTTGCTGAGCCATCTTCTTGGCCACTTAGGTGTTATTTTTGAGCTCGGTGTTATGCTCGATTATCAGAAAGATTGCTTTAGAAGAACTGGCTTACCATCTGAAGCCTCTCTGGTAGTCAAGTAGCTAGTTGGATTCCCTTAGTTACCTTCTGTTTTTTACTCTTTGAACTTAAGTGTTATGTTTTTAGACATTAAATCATGAAATAGGTTAAAATATTTTTAAATGCTTTTATACTTTAAAGTATATGTAAATAATATAAAAAAAACTTTGTGATTTCAGAACTACTATTTGAAGCTTAATTTGAAATTTGATTATTGAGATTTTATATTTTAAGAAAAGTAAAAATCTTGGATAAAACAAGCACTTCTTAGAATTTGAGTCTTTTAATCATAATTCTGTTACAGTGATTTATAATCAAATCATTTTGAGGCTCCTTTTATTGCTTTCTTTTTTTTTTTTTTTTTTTGGTTTTTCGAGACAGGGTTTCTCTGTGTAGCTTTGCGCCTTTCCTGGAACTCGCTTTGGAGACCAGGCTGGCCTCGAACTCACAGAGATCCACCTGGCTCTGCCTCCCGAGTGCTGGGATTAAAGGCGTGCGCCACCACCACCCGGCGTTTTATTGCTTTCTTAAGAAGACAATACTTTCTGTTTTGGTCTAGAAGCCTCAGTGTAGATGGTTTAAACCAAGAGTTTTTAGATAAGGGTCCGCTGGTGTAGGATTCTTGTCTATTTGAATTCTTAGTTGGGGGAAGAGTGGTTCCTCTTCTCATAAGCTCTTCAGACTTGTTATTTAGCCACAGAGGTCACAACTCCCAATTTCTCAGGTCCTTGACTTAGTTTAAGAGTAGTGTAGGATTGTATCCTGTTTCTCTGTGTCTCCCTGAGTGCCTTGTGAGTGTTTAGGACTGAACAGGAGTTCATGGGCGTCTGCCTGCTTCTGAACATCCCATTCATCCTAACTCACAGTTTATTTTTCTAGGTATGTGTTCTCTTTCTGTGCTTGTGATGGCATTTCTCCACCTTGGCTTTCTTTCCAGTTTCTTTCTAAATACTGTATTTTACCATCCAATTCATGATTTGCTTATATCTATAATTTTCTCATTAATAATTTCTTCTACAATAGTATTTTCTAATACTGTTTGATCTATATTTTATAATAGATTATCTTATATTTCAAGCATTTGTTCTCTGTTTCAGACCTAACATAATTATTGAGCTAACTCTGGGATTACTCTTTCTAAGCCATTTGAAAGTAACTTTACTTTGTCCACATATTAAGAACATTACTCTCTAATATTTTAGCAATGACTAAGAAGGTGTTTCAGATTTACGATACCATTGTTTCTTTCAATTAGCAATAATCTTGTAGTGACACCTATTCACTTCTTCTGTTTGATTCAAAGGTATAGGATAGGAACCATGTATATGTTTTGACGCATTATACGGTACCTTG